TCATGACAGCGCTTAGATTACAGGAGTACAGTCTATTTAATTATCTACGTACATGACTGTACTTTGAAATCTTGAACATCCATAATATACACGCCTTTATTTAATTACATGGATCCATAAGTTGGCCAGATGACAATAGGATGTGGAATAAGCCATAATAAAACAATACATCTCTACAAGCACAATTCATACTTTTCCAAAGCAAAGGTTTAACACAAATTTAATTGAAGTGAAACATTTCTGGTACCTTCAAACATAAGACGGTGTATATTTCGCAACTTCCGGGGGCGATGGGTTTGGAGAGTATGGATTGGTTTCATCTGGCTCAGAACAGGGGTTGGTAGCGAGTTCTTGCGAGACGATAATGAATCTTTAGGTTCATACAAGACAGGGAGTTTCTTCACGGTTGTAGCATTATTTTACACACCCCTAGGTTGGTTATTTATGACCATGCTCGCCTGTCACTTTTGTTCATCAGTTCCCAACACAATGCTATCAACAGAGCACAAGAAAATTACATCGTGGACCCAAAAACTATTTGTCCGGGAAACAAAATCCTCATTATAGGGCACTAGTGGAAAAATGACAGCAAATGGAAAAAAAACTATAAACCGGTAAAATGTTTTACACATAAACCTTGATAAAACAGGTGTTAATAATTCCCGTGAACAAACTATTGTGGATATAAACATGGTGTAACATTTTGTAAAAATAAGCCGACATAATTCTGTGTTGTCTACAAAAGCAGGTGACATAATTAAGTTAGTGACGTACCTGTTCGCGTTCATTGTTAAAAAGTTACTACGTTCTGTATTCATACGCCAACGGGTAGTTCAAACGCACTGGTTTTATGATTCTCTCGCCAGATTAAAGAGGGCATGTAAAAATTCTACCAGCCATGTTTTCCTAAGATTGTGAATATGTGTATGGCTATAATTTATAATTTCGTTCTTCTCAATACGACATTCAAAGACGAGTTCACACTTTTGTTCCATTTTGTATCGTCATTTAACGCTAAAATAATTATAAATTAACACTTCAAACACCCGAATTCAGCATGGACAATCACTCTTCAGCAAAGTACTCCTCATACTACATTTCAGATCAATGAACAGGTAAACCGGAAATTGTCTTTATATCGATAATCTTAAAATACGTCATTACAAGATGCAAAGACCTCAATCACAAACACTTCCTCACTTCGATCTATGCCATATATTGATTAGGCATAATGCATCACATTAGAACCTCTGTATTTTCTCCTGTATTTGTTTATATTTTAAACGGGTCTGTCGTCTTTAAATTTCTTGCCTTATTTTCCCTCTCTTCATCGTGTAGTAAGTTGCTGGACCGTCTTCTTCTGTGTAGTCCCAATCTCTTTCCTTTAAATGTTATTTTCAGAACCTTTGTTGTTATAAAACCTGCATATGAAAACACTTAGCAAACCATGCAATGAGTTATTAAATGCTGAACTGTCTTGATCTAGAACAAGAATTTTTCATAAACTATTGAGAAACTTAATCAAATCTCCTTTAATCATATTATCGATTTTGTATATGACATTTTCACGTCAATTCATGATGTACCATGACAAACATTTCGATTCAAATATGCTCATAATTCAAAATTGTTAGTACAAAAATTGCAGGTATTAGTAAAAATGTCAAGTTGGATAGTAAATATTAAAAATATTCACTAATTTTGACTCAGAAATTAGTCTGCTGGTAATTCTAGAAAAACATTAGAAAACCTATGTGTTTTATGGTGGTCAGATGTGGTTAGTCAGGGCTGTTTAAACATTCGATCGGGTTAGTAGTTCTTACGCCCCACTGTAGAAACACACGTAACTAGAAACGCCATACGGGAGATCTCGTTGACCATGTAGGACTTTACGTCCGTAATGTTGCCTACACGAGCTTGTTCCGTCATACGAAACTTCCTTCGTGATATAGTCGGAGTGTAGAGTGAGTCGTTACAAGAACGAGGAAAAATATAAAAGCTGACAGCAATACAACAAGTTTGTTTTTATGTAACAGTCGTATCGTTTGAATACATTTATTACCGATTAACTAAAACAATGCATGGGACTGGGACAGGCAGTTCAGATCCGAGAAGACCTGATAAAGAACATCGGTACAGTTAAAATATTCAAATGCTTTAAAATTGCTGTTTGAACCATGTATATTGCAACACGTACAATAATTCAAGTACTTTAAGTGTGTTCGTATCGTCAGAAGTGATTCAGTAAATGTAGCATGTGTATGAAGATGATTTGTTGCACTCGACACATGCATGTAACCTAATATCTAGTGATAAATGTCAGGTAGCAGCCCTTTAAAAAATGCAACACATATTCAATCTCTTACTTAGTCTATATACTGTTGTATCCATTGGCATCATACGACGTTATATAGAGTACAAAAATTATTACCTCAAGAGGTTCAAAGGAATTGAAATTTTTTTCAGGTATAAATCATCACCAAATACTCAGGGAGCTCCAGATGACTTAATACCAGATTATATGAATATCTTAGGCATGATATTCAGCATGTGTGGTCTGATGATGAGAGTAAGTGTTTTGAGAATGCAGCAACTGTCATATAAATTCACCATTAATGATTGTCTGCCATTGAATCATAACAGCATGCCCACAGAATACACATCACCTGTTTCCTCATTTTGACATGGTGCAAAATGAAGACTTAAACAAAAAAATTGAACTGACATGAAAATGTCTTGTACAAACAAGTGTTTTTTTTCTAGATATGCTATATAAATGAAATTGGAGTGATGTTTAAGTGGAACCATGTAGAATACTTGAATTACGTAATTACAAATGCCTGATTTATGATATCGAGCATTGGTTGTGTAGCTGATAAGACAAATGCCTCACTTTGTGCAATTTAAATTTCCAGCTTAAATGGTGTGCTTGGGTATCGTTGTATTGTTCCTTCATCAGCTTTGCCAACTCACGAGCAAATGATGACACAAAACAAATTCTTAGTAGTTTTATGTAAGTAATTTGTTATGTATGTTTATCATTGTGTTTGTGATGGAATACCAAAATTTGAGTTCATGAATTGCCAAATGATAATACTTTTTCTTTTCCAGGTTGTCTATTTCAGCAGTGGTAATGTCCTATTTACAAAACCCACAACCTATGAGTCCACCATGGTCACCAGTTTTTGTGTAATATATTTAAAATGTTCTGAAAATTGTAATAAAACAATGTTTAATAAAGTTTCCTTCAAATTATGTTATTCTTAACCTAGGAGGATGTGGTAATGACTTTACCAAATACAGAATAATAAAATGTGTTTACATCAGACACACACAGATGATACTTAAAAATGTTCATGTATTGTTAGAGAACATTTATCTATGGCTTTGAGCTGACTCAAGTGTTAAATCTACAGACGTTTTTGTTTTGTTTGTGTGCGTATCTTGCCAACTCTGAGGCACTGCACCGTACCACTTGCAAATTAAAGATACCCACATTCCTTTTGCTTTTCGTTCTTGAACAACGAAGAACAGAAAAATCAGAAACCCTTGCAATGTACTGGTGATACAAAACAAGTAACTGAAGGCAATCTCAGGTACCACAATTCTCACAAACCCAAAAACCCACGACAAACCGAGTAACACGAAGATACAAATTGACATTCTCAGTTTACTTATCAACAGCGAGTACTGCTGTTGATTACTTTCAAACTTTTGCCTAGCACAAGTGAAGCTAATAATGATCAGAAGGAAAACTATTACGTTTCCTCCACATATAAGACACAACGGAGTTAGGAACCCATAAGAAAATGCTTCTTTATGGACCCAACAGTATTTATCATTAGTATATAATTCGTAATCATAGCATAACACTGAAATAACAGGAACAAATGGGAATCCCCAAGCACCAGCGGAAGCCTTCCACATAAACCTTGGTATGTAGGTTCCTATCACTTTGACGAATTTCAAATAGTTGTGAAATGCTTCCACAAACATCCAACAAAATGATGATAGAATGAAGTAGTGGAGAGTGGCAGCGATGCTGATGCATACGAGCTTGCTTGAGGTTTGCGTGAAGCCTGTGACAAACACGAGGTACATCACGAACAACGAGAGAGAGAGGGAGGCCACGATCTTGCTGTCGAGATAAGACCTCCATTTTCGAAACATGACAAACGTGAGGAGGACGAGAAAAAGACAAATGAGGGAGAGACAGCAACCAACTCTGGAGACGATATCTAGAGTTTCATCGTCTTCTATTTGCAGAAGCATGGCGAAAGCACTAAGGTGATAGTACAAGCATTCGTGTAACTCGTGGTTTGTTCCGTTATGTCTTGAGTCATTATAATCCCACATGTTTGTTTCTTCATTCCAAAAAACACATATGGGGTCTAAATTAGGTCTGACTTCTATTTCTGGTTCATAAAGTATTCTGAACGGGAACGTGACATTTGTCAGATCTGCAATGCTTATGAGAACAACAGGACTTATTCTTATAAATTTGTTTGTATATTTTGGGAACACTGTAGCCTTGTTAAATACAGAAATTAGTATTGATGCGTTATTCTCCTGTGCGGCAATGCTGTTTGATTTCAGATATATTGCCACTGTAACATCTTCCCCAATCTCTTCAGTTTCTACCGCTCTGATACTCTGATCTTCTCCATTTCCATTGTAAATATAACCTTCAATTCCATTTTTAAGGAATGTAGAAAAAATATGTGCTGCTACATTTTCTGTTTCGTAACTGCCATTCACTTCCTTGCCTGCGAGTAAAGATTCAAACTTTCCTATAAACTTGCTTGTTATATTATATGATTCTACAGATTTAATTTCATCTGCCATAATTAACGAAACTGTCTCATTTATTAGATCCTTAGCAGCCTTAAGCACGTCCGTCTCGCTGTCTGTAGTTAAGTTTCTTTCATGATGTAAAGGAAGTGTTATTTCTGTGACCTGCCCCCATATTGCACCTGTAATGAAGTTTCCCATGCAGGTACGTTTCAATTTCCTGTTTGCACATATATTATCTTGAATTGATGAGTTGTCGATAGCTGTGAAGGGCCATGTTGCTGTGGTTGTGCAATTGGAAATGTTATGTGGTATTTCATTCACTTCCATACAATATTTTGTGCTTCTCACATATAATACAGTCACAGTCCTCGTGCCTAATGTAATTTCTCCCCCAATCGGAAAAGATGAAGTAGAAATGTTTTCATATAGTTCATTCAGTTGATCTTCATCGCAGAAAATGTCTATGTGAAAATCAATATTAATGCCTGTCATATTTTTTGATATTTTGGAAACAGAAATGCTATACTCTTTAAATTCTTCATTCAGCAAGTCTTCATAATATAATATACTTCCTACAGACTTACTGTAAAATGAAGAATCATGTACTTTAAAATTATATGTTTGTTTTGAATCAAATATTTGACACGCAAATGTCATTAACCTTGGGAGTTGCACAAGAACAACGTTTGACTTTAACAGGAAAACTGGCAAGTGCGTTAATAATTCACAGAATAAGTAACCGTTGAGACGAACTTTAACGTGTGCAAGTTCATCTGATTTTATGAGTTTACCATTTAAGTAACATCTAATACCATACATGTAACTAGCTTCTTCTGCTCCAGATAACTGGATCCTATAATTTTCTTCATTGAGTTCGAGTTCGAGTTTGGGCAGGGTACGTTCAATTCCTCGTATACACTCGTATGCCTTCGGGCTGTCATTCTGTTCCAATGGGAATCCCCCATTGTATACAAGATACACTTTTCTAATTTCTTCCGAACCATCTCCTATCCACTGGATAAATTGACGCTGCCAGTCAGAATCTGAAGCAGGTTTCTTTATGTTGTGTGTCCCGCTGTAATAAGTGATTATACCGTGATTACTGCCATTAACAATATTTCTGAAATAACCGCTTTTTTTATGTATCAGGTCGCCACCACTCTGCCTACAATTTTCTTTAGCCTCTCCCCACTGAATTCCATCTTCAAGTCCGTAATATTCAGAGCAGTTTTCACGACATTGATGAAAAGTGTCGACGATAATATTACGAACCCAAAACTCCGAAGGTAAAAGACAGACAAAATTAAGATTTTCTTCGCAGGATAGAACATGCAGTGTCTTGTGTAATATGTTTAGTGCTAAACAATCATTATTCACACTATAATAACTTTCTATCCAACTGATATTGTATTTTGTTAATTCAGTAAAATTGTAATTAAAATCCGACGTCACTGGTCCACTGTAATAAAAAGGACCACCATCAAGTTTTCTCTCAGCTGCTAACCAAATGTAACTTATACGTTGTCTTTCGAGTGAAGACATCAAATTATCGAGCAAAGTTGTATTCATCCAAAAACTTTCCACGTCAATAGGAGTTTTCTCAAGTCCTGTTTGGAAACAATCTTGGTATGCCTCGATCCACTTCGCGGGTTTTGTTACTTGAACACAGTACGGCTCTTGCAAAGTGAAGTGTCTAGGGCATGGTTCTGTAGCCGACTGTCGGATTACTCTGTGGTTTATTTGTTGTACTGGAGGAAAGCTGGTTCCATAGTCAACTACAGCTGAAGATGGCAGATGTTTTACTGCATTAGAAATAAAATTGACATCACAAGCCTGTAAAGAAAAACATTATAATATATAAATAGTAATAAGAGTGATAAATACCACAGAATAATTTGTTTCCGATCACCAGAACCTTGGCACAGTGATGCCAATAAAAATTCCATGTCCGAGTTCCTCTTTACATTAATTTTATTGTAATTTTTTATTTTTGTAAATAGCTTGTTGAAAAAAAAGTAATATAAACTGAATCCCAATGAGATATTAATTCTATTCTTCTTCTGACTGATTTATCCCGGCTCTTAATAAAACTGGCGCGCGCGTCAAGTTGGTACTCACTGTATCATTTGGCACGTAGAAGTTTACGTCGTTCGTCGCAATGGCGCTGCTTCCGTTAACGGTAAAACGTCTTCTGACGTCATATCCGATTTTTCCCTTGGTATCACATGACCTAAATTTGTCCACTTCCGCGGCAATCTCATTTTCAAATGAAACGTAATTTTTGTTTTGTTCAAGAGTCACGTGTATTGTAATAATACGTTCGAAAATCAAATTAACTTTGTTGGATGAATACACGCGCGAGCAGCCGGGACTATTTTCTTCACACCAGTAAGTCCCTTGCATACTGTACAAATGAACGGAAGTTGTGGAAGGATCAACAGTGGCGGAAGGTTCAAATGTTTGATTTCTTGCATTAAGATATACGCCATCTTTAATCCAGGCAATCTCTGACCTGCCTTCTAATCCTCCACAAACAAAAATTACATTTCCTTCATCTTCCTCACTTATTTCCAAATGACCATCTCGTACATTAATGTATCTTCCCGATACTTTCGCAGTTAACGCGGGGTTCAAACGCTCATCACAATCTGAAACTGATGTACAAGCAAATATTATACAGTTAGATTATCTGAATTAGATATCATGAAAGGATTTTAATTTCATATTAATTTGTGATATCACATATCCATAATAAAAAAGTAAATTATAACTAATATTATTTTTTTTAATGATCAATTTTTTCCAACCGTAACTCTCGAAGCACGTAAAGGTTTGCATCCAAACTTCTTTGTTACTCTTAATTTTGTTGCAAAATATAATTTAGTATCAAATGGATGCTGTGAAAAGATTATATGAAGTCTAAATTGCATGTTTAATTTTATATTACTAGGAACGACCCGTTCTTCAATGAGTATCAAAGAATGTTGAAGAAAATGAACACAGTCTGATTTGAAGATACTATCCAAGCATTTGTATGGAGGGACTGGAGAAAACCAAAAAATCTCAGTCAGGATAGCCAATATCTGGGCCAAGATTTGAAGCTGAGACCTCCGGAACACAAAGTACGAGTGCTAATCACTTGGCCATCATCTGGTGCCAGACGAAAGCCAAAAGTATGTGTAGAAAAGTAAAAATATGACAAAGTAAGATGTCACGAAATTTCAGATACATCTGAGTTCTAAAAATAGACGAATAATAGACAAGTAAATAGAATGTGACGTAAGAAATTAAATTAAATATCAAGGTGAACTGTTACTTATACCACTTGGCTGGTTGATTTCCTCGAAGTCACTCGTGCATATAACTGATAAATTTGTCGAGCATTCTACTGCTTCAAGCTTAGTCTGTCTTGTTAATTTTACGCACATGTCCTTATTCCAAACTGGGTAAGTTTTCCATAACTCATTAGAGGATTGTGCGTAGTCTGAAACCAAAAATACCGGCAATAATAATAATAATAAAAAAAGGACTGTAGTTCCTTCCGAGTTTGAACATCTAAAACCACTTTAAAAATGTCTCCCTCGTACAGCATCACTTCTGTAGGCTGTTACAAGCATTTTGTGCCAGCTGTTTTACGAAGCTTAAAATTGAATCGAACTTTTATCTGACGAGAAAAAAATGAGATGACGTAAAACATCGCAAATACGTCAGTTTAATGACCATTACAAGCGTTAAGGAGAATTTCAAATCCAATGTTGTACAGTAATTATGTTTTCACATAATAAATTACTGCCATTACATAATATACAGACTTCAATATTGCTCCCTACACTTATTACATATCAAAACTCCGTAAGTGATTTCAGTTAACTTTATACGGAAATGACAATTCTAAGCACGATTATTTTTGAACCTACTTGTATGCCTGCTCACTTCCTGTATGTAACCGTTAATCAACCTAAGTGATGTCCATATATCATCATCGTACACTAATTCCTTTTGTATCTTAAATGTTTCAGCTTTTTCAATCATCTGTAAAGAAATACAGATATTACAAAATTGATTATAATATGGTATAAATATAATCACGTTTCAGTATTAATTCATTTTACCGTATGGACTTCGTGCGATGAGTCACACCAAACACTCACACAGGTTTGCACCCCAGATGTTCACAAGACTACAGCTCTTCTCTCGTTGACGGTAATGAAAACAACATACTTACTGCAATCCAAGTTTCGTTCAATAAATATCCTTTCTCTTTACGACATAAGTCGTAAGCCTCAGCCCAAGCGAACTTTCTGCCACCTTCCAGGAGTTTGTAACACACATTGTTGCTGTAACATTCCTCGTTCCATTCCGTGGTCGCGTTTCCACAATCATTTTGTATTAAAATGCACAAAATAAGCAAACCGATAGACCTGCCTTCCCTACGACGTAACATTTTTTTTTAAAGAAACATCTCCAAATGAAACAATGGACTGAAAATGTCACAAATTAATTCCCTTCCTGTAGTCATATTCACCGGATATGCATGTGGTTTGTGTTAGCTATCTGTCGACTTCCCTTTCCTGTTTGTTTGAAGCAATCAATGTTCGTCAAAGTGTTCCGTAAAACCCTAGGGTTTCGCTAAGCAGTCTCTGAAGTTCCCCGAGAGAATATTATATAATGGCGTGTTAACTCACTTTTCTATCACAATGCAATAAACTTTAAACATTACTTTCTTTTACTTTTTAATTCACATTCGGGAAAACAAAACACAGCCACCATCGCGTAGACTGACGAAAAACAATTGACGTGCGTCAGTCGGCGTGCGAATTCAGGACCAACGCAGCGGTCTCTGATGGCAACTGAAAGTAACTAAATGTCACGTATTCTAACACATTCTTTCACAAGCATCACAACATTAAAGTGAGAGTTTAATTAACTTGGAAAATCTGACTTACATGCCTCAGAAAGGATGCTGATTCTGTGAATATAGCAGCAATTAACATCTATAAAACCTTAAGATGTTTTTCTTCTTAGCTCTGGGTCAAAAATAGGCCCCAGCCCCTCTGCAGTACCTTCCTCCACATCTCAGTACTGCAACTTCTGCCCTGAAGATGGAGACAGTAGGTTTCTTTATAATGCTGGCATCTACCAAATCTAAGCAGCACCAGAACACAGAATAAGACCGCGATCCTCGCTGCTGTAAGAACCTCGAACGTCACAACTATAAAACTTCTCTTGGAATGTAAACACCAAAATGTAGCGATTGTTTATTTGTATAGTAAATAATTTTTGCCAAATAACGAACACGAAAGATTAGAAATCCTTGTAGCGTACTAATAATGCAAAACACGAAACTGAAAACAACTCCAGATCCTGCCACGGCAACGAAACCAAATATCCGGGACAATCCCAGTAAGACAAACGTACAAAAGGGCATTTTCAGTTGGCTTATCAATAACGAATACTGTCGTAGACTGTTTTTTTAACCGTTTCCTTGCGCAAGTTACATTATTTTAATTTTATTCATACCTGATGATGGAGGCAGCAAGGACCTCTGAAATGTCGGTAAACTTCCACACATCACAACAGTTCTGAAGACAGCCATCTTCATACTTGCTGCTGAGAACCTGAAATCTCACTTATCCGTACGTACGAAGACCTATTCCTGAAAAATTCACGCCACAAACTGCTTCTAATACGCGGCCAAGTAACGGAAAAACACCGCGAAGAAAATACATCATTTTCAGTAAAATATTTTAAATAATTCGCTAATATACGATGAAAAAGTATGGTCGATCCTTCGTAAAAGGTGGCCAGACTGACAAGAAGAAGGGATACAAACATAAGAGCACAAAATTTGCTTCGGAAAACTTTTCCGATGACTTTATTGTATCAGAGTAAGATTTATTTACACACCTTCAGTCTACAGTAATAATTACTTTAGTTCTGCTCATTAAACAGCTGCAAGGATTGGCGCTGCGCAACAAATACCAAATTGCCGCCAGACGCTTAAATAGTCCTGATTCAACTTCTCATATTTAATTACATAAGTTAAGGTTTTATTATACAATACTATTTTAACTTCCCGCTCACTGACTGCAAGTGTTTTCACACTTATTGTACACTTTGAATGCACTAACGCTCAAGTTGCCAACAGTTAAGTTCAAAGATAGTTACTACATACGCCGTATGCGCGCCACCATCAGCACTACTTGCTCGATGTATCGAAAATAATTTGGCACCGTAAGAAGAGCACGTACCGTTAATGATGGCAGACATACAAAATTTACATTAGTAAGTTTCAGCATAGTAATTGAATTTACGTAATACTCGTTTTGAGAAAAAGATAAAACTTTACAATTAACGTAACTCACAGTAATAAAAAAGAGACTAAATTACAAACAATTAACTCTGTTGGATATTTACTACATTCTACACACATCATATTGGAATTCTTCATACAAATCTTCCGAGACACGACAAACATTCTTAGTCTTAACGAGTACATTATAAGTCGGAGGACACGATTCAAAACGCTAAATGACAGCCGACATCTCGTCGTAACAACCGACTTTCCTCCGTGCTACATACAGAACTTGGAAGACTAAATTCCAAATTGTTAAACATACTTATTTTGGGCAGCATATTGATGCTACTCGGAATGAAGGACACGAATTACTCAAAAGTACACATAAAAACGAATGAGATTCCGTCAACACAACACACAAGCTTATAAGATCAAAGAGCGATATAATAACGTTCGTGCTCGTGCACGAGATTGTCTTTGGAAATGGAAAAGACCACTTGGAAGACCTAGGAATAGTTGGGATGATAATATTAAAATAGACCTTGCATAATTATCGGGAGGGAGGATGGACTATTTGGCTCAGAATCCAAACATCTCCAGTTACTTTATACTAAAAGATACATAATACTTAATTTCTTTTTCCAAAATACTACATCATTTGTCACACTATTATCCAGCTTCCGACATGATCGCGCGAATGAGACGCAGCTGTTTAAGTAAAAATGCCCTCCATTCCTCATACATCAAGAAAGATGAATTAACTTCTCAGAACAAATTTAAATTCTGCTTTCCTTTTGTGGAAACAACTCACTTAAGTGGCCAGACTTTTCTGCTCACAAATATATAAATATTCCAGGTACTGAAAATTACAAAAACAGAATTAAGCACGAACATATTTTACGTAATACGTAAGCTCAACAGTACGCACACAAGCAATAACAGCGACTGCAATGGTCTAACAATAAAGAAAAGCATCTTTTATCACTTCCGCAAAATGTTAATGTACTTTCCTTAAACTCAATAAAAAGTGTGCTACAGTATTTAAGCAAATTTTAAGTTTTTTTTAAAAAAATTGCATTTATTGTACACAGTAAATACTGAAGCAAACATCTCTAAGTCTTAAAATTTTTCTTGCTGAAAATTGAATTTGCTACACATGCAAAAATTCATAATAATACAATTAAATAATATATAGTACACGACCCGCAGGCCACACGTGGCCAAACGCTTACTATCAAAACGAACAGCCAGTAATATCTCGTTCCCTCTGCAGGATAAGGCATTTTAAACTTCAAATTGAATTCTCGTCAGTTCCCTCTGACCACTGGGTAGAGTTTCCATCAGAAAATGCTACCGAAGTCCTGCGGTCAGTAAAATTATTTTGGTACCACTTCACTAATTATCTTGTATATCTTCCGTTTTCCATTAACGTCTTATCATTTCTTGGTTCAAAGCAATCACTTGAAAAAAAGAAAAAAAAGAAAAGGAAACTCGTGACTTTTTATAATCCTGCAGAAGGGGCGCCATTTTGAATCTGTTGACTAAAGATTACAGTTCATGAGTAACTGTATTTATCACAAAAAAAAATTGTAGCATTATTTTAAGCGTTAACTCTCACACTTGAGTGGTTATCTTTGCTTCTACAATGGAATATCACGCACTTCTGTCATGAGACTCAAAACAATTATGACAGAAAGATTATGAGCTATAAATCAGGTAGAGCTACGAAGACAAATCAAATGACGTATTTGGAACTAACTCAGCGAGAACATGCCACCCTCTTTAAGTTGTCAAGAATCTGAGAAAACCTGTGAGAACTCGGAATTCTTGACAACTCCACGGGTGAAAGCAAAGTAACATTGAAAATTTCAAGGTCGAGATAGTGACAGATATTTAAATTACAATCAGACCTGACACAGAAAACAAAAGAGAAGTAACGTTGTAGAAATTTGTCGATATACTTTCATCGCAATAAACAGATTACCTGCAAAGTTTTACCAATGACTGCGCTTCCATATCACTTCGACTTCTTACGTTGAGCACAGCGTAATGAATTTGGTTTCCTTAGAGTCTGACAGAGGGCTTCGTCGCTGGCTTGATTTCTGCAAGAGTAAAAAACTAAATAAAGTTCTCCTTATACAAAAGAATTAACTATTAGCATCTAGGAACTGTGATACATAAAGTACTCACCTACTATCTGCCGAAGAGCTTCATTGTCCGAAATCTTCATACGGTCTCTTTCATGCCCAAATAATTTTCTCTTTTCACCGCATCTGATGTTAAAAATCAGATAAGAAATGAGATTCTCAATTGTTCTTTTGCGTCTGCGCATGAATCTCACGTCTTCTACTAATGGCATCCGTGGGTCATTACGTTCCGACAATATCCGCGAATCATTCTTTCTCGTCCGCACACATAACGGGTATTTTGGTACACGCTTTCCTTTCATTATCAAGTTAACCATTCTTCAACTTTGTATTCATCTCCAAGCCAAATTATTGATGCCTGAAGCTTTATCCAGTGCCTGTGCCTGTATTAAGGGGTCACGGCATCTCTCCGTTCTCCGAGACTGACAGGATTCATCGCATCTGTGAACTCCCTCAGTCTTAGCTACAAGTTTCAACTTGAACAGAGGGCATAATTTTCACTGATACATTGAGAAGTTCCCCGATGGATACGAGAGACAAGAAAATTCTTCTTCCGTCGCATCCCGCTCTGCACACACATAATTCTCTTGGGTTAGTAATAAACACACAAAATAGAACACCGTCTGTTCGACAACCCTATTTACTTTCATTATCTAAAAATATTCCAAAACCAAATATCTCGGGTGAAACAGGTACTTCCGTAATTTTAGTAGCGTGTCAGTTAAAGTAAAAATGTGCACTACTATATCTGCATCACGGCACTGTTATCTTCGTAAGTGGTGCACATCTGAAAGAAATTACACAAAGATATTACACTCACAGACAAAACTGCAATTTGTTCGTAATGAATTTATGTCACGATACGTTGAGGGATATAAACAGCGCTTTAGTCTCGTTAGATGTTTGTAAGTTAGTGATGTCCCCTTCTTACCTTGACCTTACGGCCGATTATAAAGGGGAAGAAGGTAGTACCTGGTTTTTGGAAACTTTTGCTCTGGTCATGACGTCATAAAAACACGCGGTTATGATCAACGTCATGTGTTATTATTGCACTTCAATAGTGCACAAGATTTTTATTACATCCAAGTGTCATATCACATCAAGTGCGAACACAAGTGTGTTATAATGATGTTCATTCAACGTCATCGTTACTAACAAAATTCAGATCTATATTATAATGAGCTCTGAAATTACTGTGGAATGTACCACAGCAGACGAACAGCGTAAAACAAAGTCACATACCACATAAAAGGTATTTATGTGTAAAAGCAAACAAAACAATAAATATTATACACTGAAAAATGTAATTAAATCACTTGGGGATAAATCACCTTATACTTGAATTACATAATTTCTTCAAATATCAACAGGAATTTCTGCAGTTTGTGGTGTACAAGAGCCAAGATCCCTTCTGACCTCAAAGTCTTACTTTATCACTTCGGCGGTCGTCTTTTCCGGTGTTCTGTGTCTACAAGGGTGAAAGAGTAAGGACCCACTGTCTGGCCTGAAGCAGAAATTGTCAAACAGTAACAACAGAACATGGAAAAACAAGTTAAAACACTTTAAGTGTGAAGATATCTACATTATTTTCAATTTGTCTCTCTCGACATTTTTACGCAGTAATACTCACACTTCAGGCTGTGCTGTGGGGAACGTCTCTATTACAGACTGTGCTACATCAATTTTGTTTACATTACAATATATTGTCGTGTCAGTGGTCATGGCTGGTTCTACAACATTGGCAGCTTGAGCAGAAAGTGTCTGAAAAAGTGGTGCGGCTATGTCAGTGGTACCTGAAAAAAAAGTTTGCGAAATTAACACCTATTATTGCGACTGTTAAATTTAACTCATAATATAAATTCCAAATTTTATTTATACAAATATGTATATATTAATTATTAATAATTCTGATAATCTGACTGTTCACTCTGACATACATACATCTACACGTAACCACACCAAGAAATTGCAGAAAGAAAACCAAATTTTTCTGTTAATAATTAATAAACATTCATGACAACAGTTATTTAAGTTATGCAATCTGTGAAACGCACTCTCCGTCTGTTATGTCATCCTTGATACCAGCAGAAGAAACTGGCTGAACCTGTAATAAATTATAAATTATTTACAGCTAATGAGAGGGGATTAGTTACTAACCAAATGGTACTTAAAGAACAAACACGTAATGTTAATGCAGGACACAGACATCATGCAGCCCAAAAAAATATTGCAATGATAAAACACCTAAAATTTTCTAGCAATCCGAAGTAATATTGCTTTTAAAGTGTTGGGATCAGAATATTTCATATTTAACTCCAAATAAACCAGAACGTAATTTGCTGGTAATGAATCAGTCGACCAAGGCATATTTTCACGTGTATTCATCGACAAGATTGAATTCTTAAATTTATAGTGGATGACATTTAAACTTTTCAGAGGTAAATGCAGACAATTCATGCATTCTCTTCTAACAATTACGTGAAGTACAATTGTTTTGGATCATTGCATCAATATTTTTAAAGCTTAGTTTGATGAATATCTTACCCACTTAGAAAGCTTCCACTTAAAATGCATTTAAATACAAGAAATTATCAGTGATGAAACTTTCCTGAAAATCATACATTTATAATCTAATTTGTTAAAACAAATATCATATTTACAAATACATATTCATTCATTTGGAAATTTTCTAGTCATATAACATTGAAGTTAAAGTTGTAAAAGATCAGACGGAAAGACACCCATCCTGACGTAAATATAACTGAAAACACAGACATCCACATGTTTTTACTGATGAAATAGGAAAGACTACATCAAGAAACACGAAAACCTGCGTATGGCGAGTTCAAGCAAAAGCCAAGAGACATGAAATGCAAGGAAAGCATGACCACATAAATGCAGCGACTGGCCTGTGACAGCAGGCAGGAGAGAGAGCCATCTGCTATCCCCGAAGGCTCCGAGTTGATAAAATGGGCTGGACCTGCAATGCAAGCCAGTCCAAAAATCATTCATAGCTTCCGTCAAGAGACGAGCAAGCTTAACTATGCAGAACCTATCAACTACACTCATTATGGAACCTCAATTATTTTTATCCATTTCTCATTTTATATCGTATAAAATGCACAGCGTGTACCATAGGCTCAAAATGTGTGAAAAAACGTGTTTATACAAATAATCATTTTCTTTTATACAGATACTGCTGTATCAGTAAGTATCTAGGCTGCCGTTCGCCCCGTAACACACGAGGAACATACAAGTGAATGGGCCCAAATGAAAACTTGGTTAACATGTTATATCAGTCAGAATACACTACAGGCAGAATATATGCATCTACAATTTGTCAACTTTTATTAAGACTCCAATATCTGTGGCTGCCTACGTAGTCAAAGTGCAAATGGGAATTTAACTTGCCAATTTTACAGCACAAAATCACTACTTCAACAGCATTCTGGTCAGAAAATACTACATTCTGTTACTCTCACAAAATCACTACTTCAACAGCATTCTAGTCAGAAAATACGTTCTGTTACTGCTGTAATCATATTCCCCAACTTCTTAACATGACTACAAAACTCTAATATCAATGACAAGTTAAAAATCTCGCATAAGTGAGGAAACTTTCTGTTGCTACAGTTTTCATAATTACTTTATACAAAAACGTACAAAAATACTATTCATAGCACACATTTCTAAAGATTATGGTACGTAACGTATGCAAAGTATGAAAGAATATAGGTTAAATTCATTAAAACACAGCTCCGACTGAAGTACCTCATGCTCCACTTTTGCCCTTCTGCAGTGTGGAGGACATTTAAAGATACAATATGTCCCATCTATGGGAATTCTGTTGCTCTGCTTGAGAGTCAAGTTCTCAAGGGTCACATACCAAAATCTTCCTGAAAAAATGAAATTCTGTGCTTTTCCATCACTTGAATTGATTTCATGGCAACTGAGAAACTGCAAAAAAAAAAAAGTAAAATGTTACAGTTTTGTTGATCATATGTGACACTCCAAATTACGGTGAGTCAACAGCTGAGAGGCTAAATTAAATATCTAATTATATGTCGGGTAAGATTCAGCTTTGAAATTCTCTACTAGTTGCCAACTAAAATGAAAGTTCGAAGCATTTATCACAGCATTTGAATTTGTGATTTCTCAGCAATTATATGAAATCAAAAAACGAAAATCATTTAGCATTGAGAAAACTCCACACGACATCCCCAGGGAATGCACATAGGACTGAACATTTTAATTTGTGCACAAAGTAGTGGCATGGGTCCTTCAAATAATGTCACAATTACCATTATAATCCATTACATATTTCAATGTCTTTGCCTTCCAAAAAACACGACATGTATAATACTATAAGCCTACTATCATCGCCCTGACGATGGAGGCAGCAAGGACATCTGAAATGTTGGCAAACTTCTACTGGACTACACGGTACAACCACCCAGAAGACAGCCATCTTCTATTATCATTTCTTATCACAATGAGTACACTCACATTTTCATTGTATTGTATAATATTAAAAATGCCAACCACACAACTGTTGTTACAAGTAGTTCCAAAAATAAAACAAAGACGCCAACACTGTCACATGAAACACCAGAACAGAGTGCTCTACCCAGCATGCAACATGCTCCCCTGCCACAAACACACATCGAACACAGTTTCAACACTCCACATTTAGCATCCATAACACATTTTGAATATACCCGTAAAAACAATGACGATACACAGGCTTCATTATGATGTTAGAAAAAGACAGAGATGGAACGCAAATAAAACAACACTTCATTATGATGTTAGAAAAAGACAGAAATGGAATGCAAATAAAACAAAATGGAAGATAAACAGAAAAATATTTTGAAGCAGTTAATTAAATTCACTGAATTAAGGTTAGGTTAGGTTTGTAAGTGCGCTATCAAGAAATTCATGTGTACTTGAACTCACTCTTAATATCTGATGTCATGACAGTTCCCCTCTAACAGCCAGGTTGAACACCATCAGCTTCTCTCTCAATTCATTTGCAAGTATTTACTGAAATTCTGAGTTTCCTTTGAAGTTGTTGATAAAAAATAGTCAAAACTACAATAAACTGTCCTTGATTATTGATCTAAATCTTCATTTAACTTTCAATCATATGGGAATCTAAATCTATGATCATAGCGTGCAGTCAACTGGATGATGTAAGGCTCTACAAGCGGACAACAAAGTTTAAGAGGACATGCCACTTAATTCTAAATTATTATTTTTTATCTTGTTTTCATGGAACACCTGACTTCACAATATGTATATATTTTATGACGAAAAACTAAAGAACTTTAAAAATGATCCATTTTTAAAATTTGCTCAGTTGCACATTCCCAGTTGGGTCAGGACAAGAACTGTGCTCTCGTTGGGTTTTGTTTACAGTAATACAAATAAATAAAAGTAGAAACAAAAATTCTGAAAGAAACCTCATGAAACTAAACTGTGGTGTCGTGAAAATATGACGCACATCTCTTGTACAGTATTTAATAAACACAACCTTTTCCTTCCTGTTCTAAGAGCACATACAAATATTTTAATCCTATTATCGAAAACATTAAACATGCAACATGTTCTTAGGGTATAAAGAAAAGAAGTTCAATACGGAAGGAAAATAAAATAAATGAAATGTTTTAAGACGTATTTGCCTGCATACTTAATGTGTGCAATGTCTGGAAGCAATTATGGATGGGAGAAGGAGGAAAATTACTTTCTGAGACAAACAAAAAAATGTATGCCTTTTATTCTACTGCTCACATCTTAAATAATATTAAACGGGCTACTGGAATTCAAAGGAGCAAAATTCCTGGAACGGTTACAATTCTGCAGTAAATCAGGTTATCACAGATGAACAACGTCACTGAGGTAATCACCAAAGACGGAGTACATGTAAGATGTACCACCAACAGTACTATTATGTTACCACTTTACATTATTACTAAAAACAAATATTAAATACCTAAACAGATAAATTTCATGTGGGGGGGAAAGGATGATAACAATATAGTACCCAAAAGCTGGACCAGAAATCTGCTAAAAATAAATAGATGCACACATAAAAATAATTCTGAAGCTTTAGCTGAGGTATATCACCATGTTTAGATGAAGCGATGTCTTATAGCATATAGTGAACATCAGTGGAAATTACTTGCTATACTTTTAAAAATATTTGGCACATAATCACGTAACTGAACTGTATGAAAAATCTGGAAATTGCTGTTAAAAGAAAAAACAAGTGATGCCATATTTATCATTTCCTAAGTTTCATTAAACCTGACACAGTTTATAGTTCTAATAATTGAGATTCCATGTCAATGATTTCCTCTTAAATCTTCTTACCCACAACATACTCCATACTTCATAAAACTATAATACACATGATTAAAATACTAAAGTCATACATTATACATCACAACAACTTGTAACCAGATCTCAGATATTTTTCTACAGTCCAATTTAAATATTTAAAAATTGAATATGAAATATTCCTCAGAACAGCGCTTGTTTCAAATTCGCTTTCGACAATTTGTATACGGAAGGCACAAATTTAAAATGTCTCTCATAATATTATACACAATCATACCAATATGAATGTTTCACATGTTACCATTAAATTTATCAACAGATCTTTGTCTGAGTTGTTTAATATTCATAAAATTAAATGTACAGTGTAATTTGACCCACAACTACAAAATGACTAGTATCACATTTAACCACAAAATAAATACAACTTAAAAAAAATATAAGTGCAATCTACAAATGCAGTTTACGAAGGCAATACATGCACTGGTGAAATGTTGCAGACACCTACAGAAACACAGCAGTCAGCACACAAAGTACCTCACTCCAATGTAACAAGCTGCATTAGAAACAGTTTACCACGGTACACTCAGCCATTTAAACTCATAGCAAAATAAAAGTGTATAATACAAATAAAAATCTGAATCCAAGTGAGCATGCAAGACTGATGCATATAAACTATAAACACATTTTAAAATTAAAACTTCAAAGTGAATCTTCAAAAGAAAAAATGGCCACTAGCAATGGATGGCTTCAGATTTCTATTCCTCTAGAAATAAATAAAAAAATAAAAAAGGTAGGACAGACGAACATTAATTCCCTTAAATTCTTGACATGAAGACATTCATCGCATACTTGTCACTGGAATGTAAAGCACATTAATATAAAACAAATTAAATGTTGTAATTCTTTCGCAAAACCGAACCATTTCCTATTTCACAAGAACTTCAAATCTCTGATTATGAAGTACACTAGCTTCGTATGACTCGTCAAAGTCGATGTGGAATAAACTGTATACGTGCTTAAAATGAATACAATTTATTGCAACTTACATCAAAAGTGCAAAATTTATATGATTTCTGTATAAAATAAATCAAGTGTGAAAACATCTTGACAGTGACTGAAGCCAGATTCCTACAAACACAATAACAGAAAAGTGTCTGCCTGACTTCAGACCTCCACCAGACCCCATATTACGTGCCACCACAGCTGTTTGCATTTTCTGTTAGCACGGTCACCAGCATCAAAGTCAACTTCAATTTTTTCTGCAACGCACGACTGACACATATAATGAATATTATATATTACATTATGAGTAGATAATCTTTAATTATATCACGGGTTCATCTGGAATGACAAGTTGCATCCCCTAGTAGAGAATACACGAGCGTCTGGTACCTAGCTATGGATAGAAATATCACTCGTCCTGAACATCAGAATTCTATCAGAGTACAAACGTGCTTTTGAGATCTGCTCCTATGATGTAAAAATGAACAGAAAATGAATACTTTACAATGTATTCAAATGCATTTGCCTAAAAAAACTTGCTTTATCAAATTTTTACTTTTGCAGAAAATTTTTATTTGGCCCAAAGGATTGAACACAGTTGTACACAAGTGTCAAGACCTCTGAACTGAAAATGAATTTTATATGTATGTTTCATAATTAATAATTTGGATTTCTCAATTTGTTATATGAAGAAACTATCCTATAAATTTTATCCAAAATAAGTATTATGTTGAAAAGCACAGCAGTATTTTAGGGTATGCTACACATTAAAATCAGTTTGCACTGTGTATCACAATAAGGATGTCAGGTTTAAATCCTGTAAGACAAAGATTAATATATTATAATACGAGAAATGTTTTGCCAGTGCTTATGGTGGACAATACTGTTCTTTCTTCCCATCTCACATTTATAAAGTGTAATGATGAAAATGGGAGTTACTCTGAAATACTAATCCCTGCCACAAGCAGGACTGAACTCTGTTAAGTATTCTGACATTCTTCAATCTTAGAAATTATTAAATACAAAAACTGACTGCACACTGCATTACAGGCAATGAGCCACTAAAAACATGAATGTAATATCCTGTAATTAAGACATCCCTTTCTGCATTGCACACCTATTTTTAAGTAGCCAACTTACTGTGAAAGGAAACGCTTTTTTGCACAGCAGTCGTCTGTCCAACCCTCTTAAAACCAATATAAAAACTGAAATAATATCAAGCCCTTTTACCTGCAGCCATGCTAATTAATATCTGTTGGAAATCGGCCAGCTCTGGATCGAGCATTTCAAACCCGTGATCGGTTGAAGTGGCAGGAGGTGACTCATGCAAGCCTGTAGGGGCAGATGCATTACTGGCAGCTTCTACATGAGTGGAAGAGACACAGGCAGGTGAAGAGGACTGGGACCCAGCACCCACCTGAGGGTCCCTCCTACCATCCACCAGTTCCACACCCTGAGTAGCGATTTTGTCCTTAGTTACGGAGATACCAAACTTCAGTCCTTGAGCACCTCCAGACATCACCTTCTGAATCTTGCTCTCTGCCGGAAGACTGTCGGCAGCCGACGAGGAGGGTTCGGGCCGACGGGCCGCCACGGAAACAGTCTCTTTCTTGGGGGGTACGACAGGCTTATTAGGTGGGACAGGCGGAGGAATGCCTCTGCCCGGTGGCATGGGCTTTTTGGTCTGAAGTGGCAGAGTTTCTGGAACTTGAGACTGAGGCACCCCTGTAAGTAGACCCGCATTGGTCGTCACGTGGAACGTGACTTTTCCACCCTGCGTAGTCGTGAAAACCTTTGTGCCGGGCGAGGCAGACAGACTCACGCGAGGTGTCACCTGAACCACTTGTGCTTGTTGCTGGCTTCTCTTTTCTGTTGCTCCTGCAGCCACCTGGTGAGAGATGCACACACAATACATGTTCATGGCACAGCTAACTTTCCAAACTGAACTGCAGAACGTGACAAGTGTCTGCTACAATATTTAAAAAACACTGACAACCTTCAAAAATAAAAATGTCAGTATGACAACCAATTATCCAGATGGCAGCAGATGCATGTAAGAAGGAACACACAAACATAACCACAAAACTTACATCTGAAAAAAAGATGGGTAACAAATTAGAACTCTCACAAGAGACAAATTAAATCTCTGTAAGAATGTCTTCTTCATATTCTATCAGTACCAGCTGTAATGTTTACATACTACTGATTGTTCTGGTACACACTCCTCTCTGCCCTAATCTTGGATAAGAACATTGTAACACGCGTGAAATTCCATTTCAGGCAGTTCAAAGGTTAATGCGTGTATATGGAACAGTAACTCGGGAGTTAAAGTTGTAAAGTATTTGGATAAAAGGACAAGGTTTAATATCTGAAAGACCTTATAACTAACACACTTGATGGAACAGAGCTATTCTTGAGAAGCTGAAAGTATGATCTGCTAATCCAGAAATTACTCGCCTTTTACGGAACACGAAGGTTCATTTCTGTGTTCAAAACTGCCAACCGCTAGCCCCAGTCCATAATGATCCTGTCCACAAGTCTGGATTTCTCTGACTCGCTATAGACAGATACCCTATTTAATTTTTAGTAGAAAACAGGTTTTTCAAAGAACATTCATTTGTCAACAAACTTTCTCATCCAAAATTTAAAATACATAGCGATGGCAAAAGCACTGCATGAATGGACAACATCAAACGTGAGTCACACCTTGGTAACATCACTTTATCACGTACGATTTAGGTTTCATCTTACCATTCCTTCAGTCAATTACAGCAAGGTCAACACAAGTTATAGTAAGTCTACAAATATGTGTATAATTGTTACAAAAATAAAGTACATTTAGTAAAATGAGTTGAACACTATTTCAGACAAAGTGAATCATATATGTAAGTAAAAAAAATAGATGTCAAGAAGTGTAAGAAATGATTTGTAACCATGAGACAGGTTAACACAAATCATTTTCACTACATTAATTATTCAAATTTAAATGTTAATGCCATCATATAAATGTGAACATCAAAATTCATCAAGGCAAATCTAAAGAACGGATCATGACAACGCAAGTCAGTCAGAGGAACACTCGTCTACATCACAAGTTGAAAAGCCCAGCATTAACAAATTTTTCATTTCTATTCAAATACCATATTGTTCCAAAACACGTATCATCAATTTGTAACTGTCTAAAATATGACTTACTCGTCATTTCTTATTTATTTACACAAGTGAATTAACTCAACATCTTCTCTAATATTTTAACCACAACACCAATCTATTTTTAATCGTACAACCAGTATCTTTTAGGCATCATGTCCCAAGCATTTGTTCAGCCAGACAGCAGCTGGCATATAAGGATTGCCTTAGCAAACAGAGAGCCGCAAAGACTCGTGCCATCGTAACATGTGCACAGTTCAATTCCAAGCAGTCAACGGTCACTTGCTATTGTGGCCAGTCAGATGTACATAAAATTACAGTGAGGTACGCTACTCAACACATGCAACTTGTTCTGAATTTCATCACAAAGTAATTATAGTAGAAACTGCAATGTTATTCTTCACATCCCATTTCACGACAAGAAAGCTGGTGCCTGGCATGCTGTGAGCATAAAAAGAATCACACGTTCCACATCTTTCATGATACATTTAATTCAGAAGTGTATCAATATTTTTCAGCCCTTGTTTGAAGACCAACAAATAATATATTTGTGCACACACTGTATGAGGCTTATTCAAACGAAACCTGTTTAGGGACTTTCATGGGAAATGGAGCTATAAACATAATGCTGGAACATGATGGATGTGTCACTGCATCTTTTCAGGGACTTTCATGGGAAATGGAGCTATATAAACATAATGCTGGAACATGATTATTCTTATTCTTATGCATTATGTTCACTCCACTTAAGCAATGAGTTAAAACATTCCTAACTTAAAAGTCATATGTTAAAGGATATTAAAGGATAAGGACTTAAGAGGATGAAGACCTATAAGGTCTCAAAAGCAAAGCACAAACCATGCAAGAACTTGCAGAAGTATATTCTAGTCTCTGATTAAATTACATACTTTCCATGGGTAGCAATCATTACAAAAACAAATTCTTAAGAAAGATATGCTGAATTACGTTTGCACTCTATTATAAGGTTATAACACATTTACAAATAAAAACATTTCGTATACTGTGTATTATTATATCTTAAAACAAAGTAGGAGCTGCTCGAATGTTTGTAGGTTTCTATTCATACCCCTAAAAAAAAAGTAATAATAAACTTACCACACATTACACTAATAACCAGCAAGAGCTATATACACTGCGGGTCATGATAACCGTAGGCCAAATGTAGCAGGCAGTTTTACACTCGGTTATACAAGCCATTAGGCTAAGAATCCCTCAAAAGCATTACCATGGCCACAGTCATAATAATTTAAGAATAAAACACACATTGCCACATAAGATTAAAAATTACTTATTATAATAATTTATGCATAACAGACACATGCAGTCATAAACATTCACCTAATATAATACATGGGCTTGGTGACTTTCAGTCTTGCTTCTCAAAAAAAATAAAAAACGATTAAATCAAGAATTGTAATGGTCCAGTGGCCAGCGTGCCATAAATGTTTGTTACGAAAAGGCCGTCAGTGGAGTCTTCTCAGGTCTACCATTACGGTTCAGCCATATCTCATGCTAATAGGACAACATTCATATTATATCACGATGAAAAATGGGACTAGGTATATTCAATAATATCTTAATTCTGTTATTTGGAACAATATGGTTTTACTTTCCAATATGAATGATCAGGTCAGCAATGTGGGGTCAATCTGTTTTAGATTAATTAAAATCTATGAACAGGTTATCCATTCATAAATGACGTCACATTCCCCACTCATTTATCACAAATCTTTGGTACCACATGATCAATAGTCTAATTTTTATGGTAAGATTAAATACATCAAAAGTGCCAAAACGCTGAGAGGATACTGCTGGCATGGGTAGTAGAAATCCAGTAACACTGCATGAGAAAAATGCAATTCAGTTCTATCAAACAAAATAAAAACTGGGATGTATTTTATAGTTTTGAATTCTTTTCATAATGTAACTATATATCCATTTCAGTGATCACAATATCCACTCAGTTATTGATTTCTGTTCCTGAATACAAGTCATGAAGGCATTAAAAACTACTGTCTACACTCCTAATAAAGTTTCATCTTTACAAAACAATTTTGCTGAATAATGTTAAAACATGCAAATTTAATAAAAATTTCATTCTAGTATGGTGGTTTAATTCCATCGAGGCAATGCACACGAGACATGAACACTATAGAGGAAGGGCCCACACAAATTTCTTCACAGAGATGTGGTATTTCAATCGGTACACTTAAACTGAAGATATGTACAGCAATGAAACAACACATGAAATGCCCCAGTAGAATTTAAAATACCGGGTCCTTCCACCAGATATCTACGGGTCTTCATGTTCAATGCCCAATCTCATTTCTTCTTCAAATGCACAAGTGAAATCATATATATTACACAAGTTACAGGACTTGACTTAACCTAAACCAACTTAACCTACTCAGAACTGAAAATGTGTCTGGCCTTCCCTTGCATCTATACTAATATAAAATGCTGCTACATTTACAACAGAAAATAAGTTGTTTCTTAAGTACTATATACTTAATGCATAAACATGGCTATTTATTCAGAGTAATAAATAAGGATGACCTAAAAAATAAATTAACACTCTTCTTTTGTGAAGCCTCTGCTACAAATTACTCAAAAGTCAATCTTCCAAGTCAACAAGCTACACAAATCTAGTGTCACAGTTTACATGTGGTGATGCATATCTGCGAAACAACTGCGGAGTGGAATAAAATTCACGATTACTTCACGCTCAAAAGAGCGGGTTCACATGGCGACCTCCTGAATGACCACCCACGTGTACCCACGTCAGCGATTCAAACCTGTTTATGAACTATGTTACACTACGTACAGAACATTCTTAACTGCTCCCCACTATCCTGTCGTAGATTTCGTTAGCAGATCATTAGTTAATATCAGACAATGTGTAGAATACTGTATATTACAACCTGTAGTGTCGTTCACAATAAAACTATAATAGATGAGTAAGAGTACTTATTCTTTCAAGAAAACACTGCATTTTGTCTTTTTCTTTGCCTCTTATAAACTCTCTTGTTTACTGGAAAGGAAAATACAATTTCCACTCAAATGGGAATCTACATATTGTACGAGTGTCTCTCTCTATAAAAGCAACGAAGTCTTCTTGGCGATCAGCCGTGTAAGTCTGAAGATACAGGATCTACTCCGAATCTATCCTGGGGTCCGGTAACAAAGCAGGCAACCAAGCAACAGTGGATAGATAAAAAACAGCTGGTAGCATAGAACGTCCAGGTAAAACAACAAAGACTGCACTGACCGACCACATGACTCCACCCAATGTCCCTATTGGTTTGCTCAAGGACAAGGGCACAGGGCTCCGAAAGCCAGCTGTAAATATACATATAACTGGTAGTCCTGTCACTCATCATAACTACCCCAAACCGGAGGCAGATAGTCTCAGAAACATTCGTGTCCAGATCTATACGTACATCACTGATCGCCAGAGAAGATTTCACTGCATTCAGATGCTGTCAAAGCTTCAAGCTGAAATCAGTTCACCATAACACTCCAGATGACAGGCAAGAAAGGTACAAATTCATGGAACTGATGTGAAAGGAAGATGGAAACAAATAATGATTTCTTGGACAAAAACACGTTTCGCGATGAAGTAGTCTTCCACATTTCTGGAATGTTAACAGACACAATTACCAAGTCTGGGGCTGCAAAGTGCCAAACGAACACCATGATCAAAAGCAGAAAAGCCCAAAAGCAAATGTGTAGTGCACTCTAAAACACAAGACAATAATGGGGCATAAATATGACTGCACAAATAATGCGATAAAACACACACAATACTCATCATTGTGCATGTAAACACACTTAAGGCAGCATCTTGACTTATCTCTCTTTCATTGCTATTGACCTATGGACAAATTAGAAACAACACATTCCTGTGGCATCTATTTCTTATACACACGAGTGCGGGTGCAAAACATGAGCAACGAGCCTGAAGAATCTTGAATGAAAACCGACGAACAATACGAACCTGGTATTGGGAGGTAAGATTAAGTTTTAAGATATCAATCAAGCCACATCAGAAATTAGCGAACGACTTAAAGATGGCCGTATTCTGGGCTGTTTCAGCACGCATTCTGGTAGAAAATTACAGACATCTCAGATGTGCTTGCTGCCTGTATCATGAGGGTAATAAGCACCCTGTACAACAAGCAAGTACCTCTGAAATGTTGGTAAACTTCTACCAGGCTACACAGCGTAACAATCCGTAAGACATGCTTGACACTTGGGAACCTGAAATCTTACAACGAACAACTTTTAGGCTGCCAAAACTGTGACATTATTTGTTGCTCTAAAATAAAATACATATAAAAAAAATGTTTTCATGAAGCACTCTGAAAAAACTGAATAAAACGTCTGTAGCGACTCAAGGCAATTCAGTACTTAATTTAAGCACATCACCCATTATACAAACAAACTTCAGTAAGTAAATTATGAATTCAAGGATAGAAATGCTTACGAACCTAGCAGTGGAATTGAACTTCTGGCCAACGTCTTCAAGGACGGTCTTGACGAGGAATGTGATTGTTCAATATAACCCCTACAGCATACATTCTATTGTATGAAGTTTTACGGAATACAGGACCAGAAGCAGAATCAATGCAATAAATTACAAAATATTCAGCATAACAAAACAAAAGAAAGTTAAATATATGTTTTAAACCATAATCCGATTGCCTGACACAGTGAGGGAAAAAAAAAGCAACAATCTCTCTCTGAAACTACATTAAAACGTCATGTGAAACAGGAAAACACACTCAATCATAAAATGCAGTCAGGATGTATCCATATAATCTGGAAGTGAACTTCCTACCTGAGCACTAGGTTGCTCTGATGTAGCCGAAGGTTGTACCGGTGAAGACCAGGAAGACACGTCTGACCGACCAGAGGTTGAAGACCGCACTTCGCTAGCTGCAGTAGGTGAATACACAACATTGCGCAGCCCCTGACCGGGTGATACTGATCGGGCAATCCCCGTAGCTGGAAATGCAGAATAAAATGGAATATGAAGCATTACCGAGTTCTGTGAGAAATAGGAAGGTCATACACAAAACCACACGAAGACAAGATGATTGTAACAATAGTTAAACAAGCATTAGTGACAGGATTGTGCTAAATGAGTCCTGTACGAAGACAACATAGTACTAGAATATATCATTCATTCATAACAAGTTTCACTCCACGCCATACGGAACCTCGACAAGATATTCATATTCCGAGACGGAAGAACTTTCCAAGGTCTGTTCCAGTCGATCTGCAGAGTTGTATCAGGGATTACGTCAGGATCCAAGGTCTGTTCCAGTCGATCTGCAGTGTTATATCAGGGATTACGTCAGGGTGTAAATTATGTGATTCAAAGACAGTCTTTGATACGAAGATGTGTCTTGGCATTATATGCAATGTCAGACCACAGACCATTCACCATACTACTACTACAGCAGTAGCATTACAAAAGATGATATTCAAGTGATGATTTTTGTCACTTATGTCGGGTAACAGTTACTTACTTGGTCCACACACAGGCACACTCGAGACAGTTGCTGTAGGCTGAACAACTTTGGCCACCGAACTAATCATTGGTGTGCCTGCTGCTGGAGGTGGTGGTGAAATACTGCCATCTACGTGAGCTGTTCCAGGCTGACTCCACGGGCCTAATTTTGGAGGAGTAAGTGGAACTCCAGCTACAAAAGAAAAAGGAGAAAAAAGCACCTGATTTTAATAAAGGTCATTACGTTCTCTAAAATATACTGTAAAAGTATACTAATCTTCAGGAGAAGAAATGATAGCTCATCAGGCAACTGTATTATGATGTATTCTGCAAACGGTTCATTCACTGACTTACAGACACAAAAACAAAATCCTGCTAAACTTGGTACATGCCTCAGTCAGGAAAAGACACACCACAGAGATTTGAACCTGAGACCTACTGAATATGAAGCAGATGTGCTAACTACAACACTGTAACTTTCAGTCTAATCGTTTTGAAAAGGGGGACAATGCACGGAAAACCGTCGATGCTATTTTATGACAATCGCCCTGAAGTAAAATTTAAAGTTCAACTATTCTTGTTTGCGGCTAGTAAAATAAATGGTGCGATTTAATTTATATTACATAAGCCATTGACACTGATGAAAGTTTGAAGACAAAATCAATATTCTTGTATTTTACTGCCACACACAGGCTTTGAATATAAGAACCAATGGGCATTCCACGAATGTCAAAACAATAATTAGCATAATTCCACACAAAGCGCTACATTTAAATGTTGACTGACTCATATCCACCTCAAATTCTAAAAATGAGTTTGAGATTTTGAGGCATTGGTGGTGGAACACAGACAGATTCCATGACATATCCCCAAAAGGAAAAGTCCAGCGGAATTAAGTTTACACATGGTAGGACACTTTGTAGGACTTCAGGCCGAGACTAAACAATGCTGTTAACTGCCTGTACGACACATAATAGGAACGTATCAGAGGTGTTTGCCGCATACTTTATCCTAAACCATCTCTGAACTAGTGTCAGTGACTTTGTTTGATAAAAAAATACAACCACGGGACAAAACCACATTTCCGCACTTGCACCAATGCCGCTTCGTGCTGCTTCAACCACAGTGCACATGGTAGATCACTCATGTATCCAATATGCATGCATTAAAAACTTTGAATGTCTTTCATTATGTCCTAGAACTTTCATTTGATCTGGTAGTTTACGGTACTAGAAATAGATTTTCAAGAAAGAAAAGACAATTCATAATTACCCTATACTGCATTTTCAATTCTCCATTACCGCACAGAGACATCTCGAAATAGACATTTAAGAGAAATATAATAACAAATGACTAACCTGAAAAGGTCCAGCATGCTCCTTGAAACAAAATATACACAAAGAAGTCACAAACGTGCCAAATAACCCATCAGATACAAATAGTTTTGACATCAGATAAACATTAATATTTAACATTTATCGGACGTGCATTGCACCGTTATGCATGTTATGTCTGGATCTGCATCACCCTACTGCACCAACAGCCCATTACTTAAGAGCTATTCAACTATGCCTTCCAGCTGTGATTTATTGTTATCGATTATATCAGTTATTTACAGAAAAATTATCAAGTTCGAGTCATATGGTCATTGCATCATGAATTCACAGCATCTTCTGACAAAATCATACAAATTAAGTATAATTTTTCACGAGTCTTTGGTTCCCCTAAACCCATACAGCTGAGCCGTCTTCACATCCAGAGTCGTCTTCCACTCGGGTAAATATTCCAAGTAAAAATATTGGCTACAATGATGTACGCAAATATAACCATTGAACTGGCGGTAAGACGTAGTAAATCTGTATGATCCAATGCTGCTTTTAACTCGGTAAATTGTAGCGCTGTTATGAAGACTTAAAGGATCTTTAAAATAACTGGTCTGCTAGACCATAAGACTAGAGACTTCAAAAGAAGAAAGACAGGTTATATGATAATCGTTACTTTACAAATGCTAATATCAGAAGACGTCTTATATTCAGGTATATATAGTATTTTACGGTCAAGTGCTACAACTACTAGATTCTGACCTTTGCCCACGAACGTGATTAATAATTCTAAGGCACTTTATACACAATTCCATTGTCAGGTATTAACAGAAATACCATCTTACTGGATGGTTGAGTTGCAGGAGCTGATCTTGAAGACGTCTGAGCAATTACTGCAGGCTTTGCTGGTGGTTGTGGTGGAGTACCTGCTACACCAGGGCGCTGCAGTACCATTCTCGGTGGGCTAACACTAGCTGTTCCAGCTTGGAACATAGCCACCTGGTGCGCTTCAGCGAGTTGCTTTTTGAGGGCTTCCGCCTCAGCTTTTGCCTTCTCCAACTCGATTTCAAGGTCTCTGACTCTATAAAGAATCAAAATGAATGAATAAACTATATCGTCATTAAAACAGTTATCATTTCATGCTAGCATACTGTATTTCAGGCATGATAAACATTTTAATAAAATTTTAAATGTTGTTATAACAAATTTCAGGAGAACTAAGAAGTTTCTCTGTTGTAATTAAACTTAAAAGCAGCGAAAAGTAACTTACCGTTTTTCTTCCTTTGCCGCGGCAGATCTCAGTTGTTGTCTTTCTGTATCAAACTGTGCCAGCTGCTTTTCAAGTTCAGCCTCCATTTGGAGAGACTTCTTACTCTCTTCTTCTAATCCTTCAGCCATTGAATCGATTCTTCCCTTTTCTTCTGTGAGAATCTGAGCGAGATCTTCTGAACGTTTCCGTTCCTCCACATACTTCATGATTAGTTTCTTTCTCTCAGCAAGTAAGAGCAATACAATTTGTTTTTGCCTATTTCGCTCTTCCTCGAGAACATCGGACACCCGTTTCAACTCCTTTTCCTGCTTCTTTTTAGCCTGTCTTTCTAATTCCAGTTCCTAATTGGCAACAAAATTAGCGTAAAGGATATTACATTCACATTTATATTTTTGATTATTGAAACACATTTTATGTGTACATATCTCTCTCTCTCTACACACACATATGCATTTATTTACTTATATAAAGGTTGTTCAAATGAAACCCATTAACGGCACTGGTAGCAAATACAGCTGACTCTGTGTCTTGGATACAAATATTTTTCTAATAAGAATTACAACACTGCACCTGTCACTGTATGACTTCCACGTAAATTACGCCATCCAGGAAGTAATATAACCAGCTGATGCCTCGATGGGAAGGCTGCCATGAGGACTACTTTTAGCAACCTCTACCCATTCTCAAAAGAATTTCATTTAAATAAACCTCATATATATTTTCACAATGAGCCGGGATAGCTCAGTCAGTATAGTGACTAGCTACGGGCTGGACGACCGGGGTTCGATCCCCGACAGGGGCAGAGGATTTTTCCTCTAGCCTCTGCGTCCAGACCGGCTCTGGGGCCCACCCAGCCTCCTCTACAATGGGTACCGGGGTCCTTTCCCGGGGGTAAAACCGGCCGGGGCGTGATGCTGACCACTCACCCCCATCTAGTGCCGAGGTCAAGGAAGAGAGGAGCTATACCTCCACTCCCCCCAAGCGCCTACATGGCGTATAGCGGGACAAACTTTAACTATATATTTTCACATATACATTTATAATACAACATAATTTATATTTTACTGTAAATTTAAAATAATCTAACATTTTTATTGCATATACATAATTACAAACTGCAAATATTATTTTACTTTCAATCTGTACATACCATATACTATCAAGTCAAGACCAAACACTTATTTCTTAAAGATCAGATGCGTTCACCTGTTTTAATCGAGTTCTCTCTCGTTCCAACCCATAGGTGATATCGTCTCCCTGTGCAGTGTCATGCTCGTGTTTTCTTTTTTCTTCATCTAGTTCCTGAACAACCTACATAAACAAATAAGTTACATTCTTAAAGAATAATGCACTAAACACAAAAATAAAATGTTCAATTTTAACAAATGTCTCATTTCCACATGGATCCTATTTTAACTTTTATTATCAATATGCCATCTCCCCTCTCATTTCTTGGTTCTGGTTTTCAATCCTTCTCAGACCTGGAAAGAATTACTGCAAATCACAATTAAGACAAATTTTCTTTGAATACTTTCTAATTTATCAAAATCAACCAAAGTAAGATTATTCCATAAGACAGAATGTTGGATCCTGTATGTAATTTTTAATTGTAAGACTTGAGGTTCTCACAGCGGTGAGTATGTAGATTTCTGTCTTCTGGGTTGTTGCGCTGTGTAGTCTGGTCGATGTTAACCAACGTTTCAGAGGCCATACTGCCTCCATCATCAGGGCGATGAGCATGAAGATTTCTGTCTTCTGGGTTGTTGCGCTGTGTAGTCTGGTCGACGTTAACCAACGTTTCAGAGGTCATACTGCCTCCATCATCAGGGCGATTATTTTTTAATTAATTAAATCTAATCGCCATGCTAAAGCTACGTTAACATGTGCACAGCAAAAGATTGACAACCAGGCAGTGATCCCCACCACTGCTCTCCAAGAACACATATATATACAATGTCACAGAAACACAACAGGTCTCCTTCGAGAGATGTCTGCGCAGTAGCCGCAAATATCACCTACACCACGGTAACAGGAATTCAAAATATTGGCTGAACGTTATCATTAAAGTGAATATTGCACAATAACGTGAATCAACATAAAAATCCTACCTTACGATGCCGCTCTTCTGCATCACGCAGAATTCTTGCCAGACGCATTTGGGATCTTCTTTGTTGTATCACCAGATTGTCTAAAGTGGCCATCTGATGATTAGCTATTGAACGTATTTCTGCCTCATCAACACGTGCTTCAGCAGCGGCAAAGCTGTCCCTCTGCAGCGCTGCTAGAGGATCACTGAAGAACAATGGCCTGAAACGTCCTTGGTTTAGTAGCTGCTTCACTCTTTCAGACTTGAAAAAAAGACGAAACGCAGAAATCAGCACGTGAAACACATTTATCACTAATTACAAACACCAGTATTCATATCTGGAAAGAGAACCTGTAATGCAAAAAGTGGTCTTTAGATTGAAATACACAGGGCAAAAATGCTCTTTGTAATAACAGCCATTTTAAAGTCGCATGATTATGAAAACAAAAGTTATATACTGTCAATATTGGTCTTCTGGGTAGGAATGCAGTGTGGACTTACATGCATACACCACCATTTTGGAAGAAGTAACCTATACCGACATCTTCACCACCGTAAGAAACTATTACATACTAATAACATCAATAAATTCATAACAACAGATGTCTCGTACCTTCAATGTAGCAATAACAATATCACGGGCTTGTAATTCACCTTCTAGGTAACTCAATAGCTTCAGTAAGTCAGTTTTATTTAACTCCATTTTTGGATTCCGCTGAAATAAAATATCAGTAAATATATTAATTTACTTCAACAGTTTGTATATCTTTGAATGGATTTAATGGACCTAAATCTTGTAAGGAAGAAGACATTAAGCCAGAAACAAGAAGGAACATCAGTCTTGTCTTAAACACCCGCATATTTGTAAGGGGGTAAGTACTAAGGGCTAAATCCCTCCTACTTCTTAAAACATATAGGAGAATGTTATTTCACTCTTACTATTGTGCTTCGTAAGTTGTAGGTAACCAGTGTTATGTGCAGCTTCAAAAGACAGCAGGAGTATTCTAAGAACAACCTAAGTAGGTGGCAGGCCAAGAGTATTTTAGGAAATGTTATCTGAATTCATTATTAATTAAAATTTGTGGCCTGCGAGCCAATTTTGCTACTGTGAACTGCTTATTCCAGTTTTAAATCCACAATCTTGTGAAGATATAAACCGGAAAACTTGCAAATAAGAAAAAGTCAAAAGCCACTAAGATGGTTGTAAAGTGCCCTCTTTCCTATGAACTTATTCCCCAAAAAGTTTACAATATTATAGAATACATACCATGTTCGTGCAACCCGAGTACGATATGCGGACGACTAATGCAAATTGGAAAAACATTCGCGGCAACAAAGAATTGCGGTGGACAGGTTGTACAACAATACACTTTCTTTTCTTTTTTAATACGAATATTATATTAGTTACACCACACATAAGCTGTCAACAAGTAGCATCAGATTCTGGCAGTTCGATGAGGATATACGAGACAATGATGTACCTTTAATGTGTTACTGGAAGACTTGTCCAATGCTTCAAAACTTGAAGCCTGTCCTGGTTGATTCTGCGGTGATTTGGTTGACATTCCGTGACAAGAACCTTTCGTACAAGTAAGTTTCGTGGCCATCTTGGCCCTATAGGTTAAGGACTTTCACACTCCGACAGTATAAAAACAAAAAGTTTACTGCCTTAAGGCACACTGCTATAACACAAGGATGTCTCACAATTTAGTACGTAATTATTCACATAATTAAAACCTGCAGAGCCTTATTTTATCTGTCATCTGCAATACTTTGCGCTACATTCGTACATATTTACGAACCGTCATTAATGTAACCAGTAGGGTGCGTTCATGCTCTCCTGCATCAAAATTCTAGTCACATACAGCCTTGATCAAAAAAACGGACAAATGCTACCAAAACACCAGTTCCATATCATCCTTGCTCGAGGCTGACTCTCGTACAGATAGGAAGGTTAGGACATACCACAGGAAAACATAACAAAACATGGCGCAACATGGCATATATTTCGGCATATAACCACTCGGCACCCTAGCTCCCGTTTCAATGCATTTTAAATATTGGTCGACGGATCCGGATATTCCCATTACATCGACATCCTAAAAAATTACGTGACCCAAATATACAATAGAACACAACTCCAACCACTGGTCACATTTTCCAAAATCGATTATGGATTAGAACAAATCTCACGTCCATTGCATTAAAATAAAACGGTACTAGTGTCAAATAATAATAAAAAGAGCAGGCTGTAAAACGGTGAAAAAGGAAGCTGGCAATTATTCTACAGAAGTGACAATGGCAAGTGATGATAAAATCATTGCAATACTTACTTCCTAACAATTTTTTAAAAAAAGAACAATGACACTACAATATTAACAAAAGATGCAACAAAGTACCTTACTCAGGCAATCTCTAAAACCTTTCCAAACACAAATCTTATCCCTACAACAGTAAATAAAATTGAAAGTACAATAAATTCCCTAAAATCAAAAGAATTAATGTGGTTATGATGAAATACCAACAGTGTTAATTTAAATCTGTGCTGACTACATAAAAGTTCCTTTACATTATTTTCGCAATAAGTCTATGACAGTAGGAGTTTTTCCAGAATGACTTAAATATTAAAAACTTAAACCTATAAATAAAAAGGTGAAAATTCATACATAAAAATTTCATCACTAACAGCTTTCTGTAAAATATTTGTGAAAGTAATAAATAAGAGAGTAGGTAATTCTTTTTAACTCAAACTTCCATTTGAGCATGTCATATGGAATTATTTTCTGGGGTAACTCAAGAAACAGAAAAAAGTATTTTATGTCCAAAAGAAAATCATTAGAATAATGGCACAAAATAAAAGGAGAGCCTCATGTAGGGAATTGTTTTAAAATGTAATACTCTTTCACTAGTCAGCAAATTCTTGCTCTCATTATCATCATTTGTAGTGGACAACACAGAAAATTTTCAGTCTGATATCAACAATATGAGTACAAGATACTGATATAACCTTCATGTGTCAAACACTAAATTCAGTAAACATCAAAAAGGAATTTACTTTAATGGAATTAAGCTATGTTTATTGAACAGTCATTGGGATATAACCTGATGGAACAGGAGCATTATTTCATTCTCTAGGAGAGATTATGAAACATCAAGTGAAGATGATAGGACAAGAAAGAGGTTGGAAGAGAGGTGTGTATGGCATTTGAGGTTAAGGCACAATTAATACATGCAATCTGCAATGTCTACACAAAGCAAACCTGTAAGAACAGACTGAATGAGTAATTAAAGAAATTGTAGGCTTTTATTAGCTGTGCACAGCATGCACTTAATGATAAAACAGTTTGACTAACATAGCCACGATGGAAAATAAATTCTTGAAACATTTGATAAATTACCTTTAATGTATTACTAGACGACTTGTCTAATGGCTGGTAGTCTGCTGACTGCATTTCCTCATGCTGAGGTGATTTTGTCGATTTTCCCTGACTGGGGTTCGAAGCCATCTTGCTACTATCAAAAACTACTAAAATGTCTTATTTCGTCAAACTCTGGCATTCGACGGATGACTGAATTTAATAATCTGCTCCTTCTCACATGCATAACGTGTTTACTTCAGTCGCCATTTAAAAACATGCATCGTTAAAACAAACGTTCCTTGAAATATTCAGTACGATCAAAACAGAGCATTTATACTTGTACATCACATAAATAACAAAAATAACATTCCGAAATTTATGTTCGTACAAATCAAATCGCCTAACAAACGCTTTATCTTACAACTACCGCTGAAAGTAGCACCATCTTTAGTTAGTTGTGTTTGACAGATCTAAGTAATGCCAATACTACTGTATAAAAAAAAATAATGGATGACGGCGCATTTCAAGTATTCTACTTTATAAATTACAATGAAGCTTTAAAGGTGTCTGCTCTCTGTTGGCGTCAACGTCGAATAGTCGGGAATATTAAATTCAACCAAGTACATCTTGGTTAGACCTGTTATTCATAACATATTTTGCTAACCTACTGTGTCGTCTTGCCTTACTCGCAGTCCTGCCAGCATTGGTAAGAATTCGGGTTCTCACGGCGGTAAGTATGAATACCACTGACTTTCGGTGTTGCGCCATGTAGTCTATCTGAAATTTACCGATGTGTGAGATATGCAGTTATGACAGGGCTTGAAACTGACCACTTGCCTTCATCTAGTGCCAAGATGTGTGGAGCTATACCTCTGCACCAGGGACAACTTTACCATCGTAGATTCTTTGAAAGAAAGCAGTCCCAGACAAACTAGTCCGTTTTAGAGAAAATTATACAATGATCCCCATTATAATATACACACTTTTCACTTCAGTGTTTCAGTTTCCAGGCTAGAAGTGAATGGATTCAGATTTTATACTTGTAAAAAGGTATATTAATAATGACAATTCTTATATTACATACTGCTGGTAATAACATTTATTGCAAACTTACATCACACTGCTGAAAAGTTTATGTAGGTTCATGCTTCTTACATAAGAATTTAAATAATTGCATCTTTCTCAATATACAGAGTGTACCATTTACCACAATGAATGGTGAGATTTCATATTTTCACAATGGAAACTAAAATGACTGTCTTCTGGGACGTTGTCTGGTAGTTTACCGTCGCTTCACACGTGCTTGCTGCCTCTGTCATCAGGGGGCAGTTATATTTCATTCATTTCCAATGGCTGTATCTATCTGGGAACTAAGGGAGATGTCTAATTTTGACCCAAGTACTTTCATAAATTTCAGAATATAACTCAGAATCCCTCATTCATTAATTTAACCACATTTGTTTGACTGTGTTTAATACAAATATTTTCTCTCAATATCAGTCTTTTTTTTGTAGTCGCAGATTTCTCAGTCAACTCTTGCTGCTGCCACAACATGAATTTGTTGGTTTATGATCTTGTGAGATTCTCAGTGATGACGTCTGCACCTCTACATCCTCCCTAGTTAACATTTCTCTGAAATAAATAAATATTCATATATATATATATATTACATATACAAACATATACGAGCATCTTCTTTTTGTGTTCACTGCCTTAGGTGATTTTTTCCTTTGAGATAATTTCATGGATGACGGCACATTTCAAGTATTCTACTTCATAAATTACAATGAAGCTTTAAAGGTGTCTGCTCTCTGTTGGCGTCAACGTCGAATAGTCGGTAAAGAATAAATCTATTAAAACATGACAAAAAATCAGACTGAGAAGAGTTTGTTGGTTGGTTAATATTAAGTATAGCAAATTTACCTTGTAAGTGTTAGGACAGCATCTAGAATGTTGATGCCAGATTTTGAGCTTGTTTCAAGGAATATGGCTCCGCAGTCTCGCGCTAAGAGCTCCCCTTCCACCATGTCAATGCATGTTATCCCTTTAGATTGGGCTTCAGCCCGTAAATCCACCTTGTTACCACATATAATGACTGGAACGCGCTGTTTAGTCACCTCCTATTTATACATAAAACATAATACTTAAATTCTTAACTAAAATCTATGCATGAACTCAAATTTTAAATAACGCCTTACTTACATCTATATTCTGTATCCACTGTCTCACATTAAGAAATGACCTCTCGCTTGTAACATCGTACAGCAACATCACGCCATCTGCTCGTCTAAAATAAGTTTTCGTCATGGAACGGAATCTTTCTTGCCCTAAAACGAAGACAACCATGTTTTACAAATAAATCAAATGCATTTATTAAAATCTTAATCTGTATATTTAAAGTATGGAACTATGTTCAGCTTATATAATTTGAAATAATATTGCACAGGTTATAGAAAAACCTTTCGTGAATTTCGGAGACGAGCACGTACGTGAAAAATGTTGTGTGAATATTATACAGTTACGAAAAGTTACGTGCCTGCGGTATCCCATAGCTGAAGTGTGACATTTCTTTCATCAATCCTGATAGTTTTCACTTGGAAGTCAACTCCTGCAATGCAGAGTTACAAATATAACTATTGTATTCCGTTGTTCGAGTTTTCTGAAAAATGAAGTGCCACATGTCACTGTTGATGTGAGTGTGAGTGTCTCTGTGGTCAGTCTTGACCCTTTACGCCTGAATTGAATGGTGACACATGATTATGAAGCACCTGGAATTATTTTAGGCCTTTTAATTCTGACTATATGAACCTTTTATAACAACTTAAGCACAAAATGCTGTTTATATAAATTAATAAAGAAACAGAACAACTTAAGCACAAAATGCTGTTTATGTAAATTAATAAATAAACAATCTCTGGTAGTGACTGCATTGACAAAACACAAATGGTATTATATTGGAAAAATAATTACCTAATGTAGAGCTTATATTGCTAATGAAGACGCCCTTACAGAAGCGTAAAATGAAACTGCTCTTTCCTACAGCTGCGTCTCCTGCAAACACTATCTTGTATGTTCTGTCTGGTGCACCGGTAGGTTCAAGTCCTCCCAGCATAACTGGATCCAGCGGGACTTCTATCAAGTTTCCGGGTGAAATGAGCCTTCTGCCAAGAACAGGGCTTTTTTGGGTAGGAAACATTAATGGCGCATTACAGTCCAACTCATCCATCTAGGCAAAGAAAATTATGCAACTTTTTAATTTTGTGACGATGGGGGAACAATGCAGTACAGTGAAGTTGTTAACAGTTGTATATGTTTCAAAACCCAAATTTCAAAATTCATACTAGCCTTAATAATCTAAAGCGAAGCTACATTGTTTCCCACCCTACCATTAAGATGTCACTTCGTCCAAAGTACATAAATTTAAATTTATTGCCTTGCCACGCTGACAATGTAACAGCTCCCACAGATAGATCCATGGAGTAGATTATTTCTTGAGAAACTGACAGTTACTCAGCTGGTTATGATATTCCTTGAGTTTTATGGAAATAAATTTTCTTTTTTGTGCTCACAACAGCTCAATACTGAATCTTATCCTAGGCCAATTGAACCAGGTCATATACTCTGTTAATTCTCTTGCTATCGAGTTCAGGACGATAATGGAGGCAGCAACGACCTCTGAAACGACGGTAAATTTTTACCAGACAACCCAGAAGACAGAAATCTTCAACTTAAATCTCCCTATTCGCATACATTATTTCCGATGGACAGAACAAGAAGTGAAGAAACCCCATTATTTAAGCTTTGATGTTGATAATCCAGTGTCCGCTGTAATAATTACTCATCCTTGCCAACTATTAAGAACACATAGCAAACCTTATGAGTTGACTCATTGTCTGGTTCAGAAAGATCAACTTGTTCCGTCGTAGCACAAAGAAGCTCTTCTTGCAAAGATTTATCACTGTCTACATCCATGTTGTCTCGCATTGTTGATCTTCCAGAATCTAGAATATATTACATGTAAATTCATGGTTACAAAACACAATAGACCTTTCTTCTTCTTTATTACGCCGTCTCCTTTACAGGAGGTTGGCGACATATTATGAACAGGATCCTTCCATCTTTTTCTCGGACTGGGACCTGTTCATATATGTTTTTTAGGCAGGTGATACAGAAGTGGTTTGCCATTGCCTTCTTCAGTGTGTGAATGGAGTAATTGTTGGGAAGCCCCGGAGGAAAACTCCGTGTTGCCTGGACCACGGCCTTTCCCAACACAAGTTATAAATCCGGGCACCGCCGGAAATCGAACCAGAGACCCCCAGGATTACAAGGCCAGCGTTCTAACCGCTAGACCACCGTTGCGGTCAACAGACCTTTAGAGCCACTATTATACAAGTCTTTCATTACTGTACTGAATTTCTTTTAAACTTCAATTTTAAAAAGCTCCTCCTACTTTTAAATATAATATAAATATAATCATTTTCCTTAGATTCTAAAAAAACATGAACGTGTCACAGGTCTTGATTTAAAGACATATTTAAACATTTTTTGGATACTGAGCACATCGAAAAGAAATTTGAAAATTGTAATGTCACAAAATGAGAATACCTAAATCTTCCATCAGCCTTCTTATACCAAACTGTACATTACCCCCCAAGCCATTCTGCGTTGAATCAAAACTAGTGGGGGCAGAATCCACTAAACTTTCTACATCTGAAGGTGATCTGCTGACTGGTTGTGATGCTCTGGAAAAAAAAAAAGTGCATAAACAGTTTGGACTTAACAAGTGTTAAGAGTTCGCTGTTGTCCTTGTCGGTGATAAGATATATGTTAGCGTGGATTTATAACGATAGTACCTCTTGCGTTTCCTGCCCTCTGACAGTCCAACAGGCGAACCTTTGGAGCTAGTATGACTGCAGCAGCAAGGTGAAGAAGATCGTGGAGATCTGAGACCGGACATATCCACGACTGTGAGTAAACTATCGTTTGTGTCTTGTAGTTTCATGTTGGCATCACTATAAAACAAAACAAAAGAAGACTGTTTTTATACATATTTATTAATTTCATACAAGGTGAAATGTAAAGTAATTAAAATATATATTTCTATGGAATATTCTAACATGTTGAACATGGTCTTCTGGGTTGTGACACCACGTAGTCTTATAAGAAGTTACATTTCGGCACAGCCTTCAAATTTAATGGAAGAGACTTAAAAAATCAAACAAATAAAACAAATCAATATACGCAGAGCAAGAAGTGCAACAGATTTTAATTGATAGACCTGATGATGATGAGATAACATCGAAACATGTCGTCAATGTAAAATGTAACAAGATCTAGTATCTAATGAAAAAATGTTATAATTTTAAGTAATTTTAACAACATTTTTAAGTTTGTGTAAAGACGGTAAATAAATTATTGTATTCAATTATACAGTTAAATTAAGTATTTAAGAGGAATGCTGTCACAGCGGTTGCGCAGTCTGAGGCGTGGGCCTTGTGCCGCTTGGACACTGTGATCACGGGTTCGAATCCCACTCAAGCCATGGATGTTTGTCCGCGTCTCTCTGTGTTGTGCTGTCCTGTGTACAGGTAGAGGCCTCGCAATGGGCCGATCACTCGTCCAAGGAATCCTACCAAATTTCTAATAGATCGAAGCCAACAAATGTTGGGACCCGCAGATACTCAAGGCACTCAAGAGCGGGTTGCTTAAGTATCCTAAGTAAGTAAGTATTTAAGAGGAATCTAAGTTGGTGAGTTATCTGAGTACTGGCATATGTGATCTTTATACTTACTGTAGTAACTGCACTTGGCGGTGGACATGATCATTCTGATTCATGTACGCTGTCACTGTTTCTTGTTGGCTTGAAACAGAAATAAGATAACTTTAATATAGTGCAAACAAGAATATATATTGAGTCAATGTTTACATGCAGTTATCAGCAAATTAGACCTAATTTTTGAGCGTTAACTTCAACAATAATCATAATTATATATGAGATGAGGTAGAAATATATTTCAAAGTGAAAAGCAGTAAATCTTGGTGATGACGATGATGATTATTACTGCTGACAATTTTAAAAACAATATACTGGCCTCATATTGCTTAAAAAAAACTTGTTTCAGTCATATGCACTTCAGTGCCCAAGTCGAGAACAGACACTTTATCAAATATGCAATTACTTACACCTATATACCACTCATATAGTTAACAGCCTGAAAAGAGATCGGACATACCAGTTGAGTTCATGGCACTTTTCTTCATATTCGGATCGGAGTTGTGCCATTTCAGAACGAAGTACAGCTAGGTTAGTCCTTGTGTCAGCTAATGTACTTCTCAGCTCTCGATTCTCAGAAACTGCATTGTAACTGCTATCTAACAATATTGGACCCTGCTTTTCGTTACGCCCTCGACTCAAAATACTATTCAACTGGAAAGAACAAAACTTTTATTTACCATTATTTATTAATTTGTCTGAAAAAATATATCAACTAACTGTGTGTGTTAGTGATTCATTATGGTTTCCATATCAATACACTTTATCTTGAATTTTATCCTTGTTTTCTATATTACATAACATTACCTAAATATGTTGTTCACAATAAATGTATATTCTATCCTTTCGAAAGCATATTGTATAAACTAAACCTTTTGAAAGAGTCTTAGATGTGCTTGTAATTCAGCAGTTTCAGCTTTCATTTTTTCCTCTATGCTACGTTTCTCTAATTCAAATTTCATTTGGGCTTCTTCACGGGCCTGCGCTTCAACACGGGCTACTTGTGCATCAAGTTCTTCTTCCAGATTCTGTAGGTGTGTTAAATGAGTTTCCTTTTCCCTGAAAAACATAAATACTTTCAGTATGTTGTTCTGTGTTGCACATTCAGGGTTTAGAGACAGAATAAATAAGCATTTCATTTCTGGCAGAAACTTAAACTCTTAACCTAACCTAACCTAACTCAACCTAACCTAACCTAACCTAAGCTAACGCAACCTAACCCAAATTAACTTATACCAATGTAACTTCAACTAGTCTTACCTAACCGATAGCTCAGGATCAAACTCACCGCCTAAGGACTTCCACAGAACCTTTCCAGGACTTCTCCAAGAATTCTCCAGCACTTCACTATGAATCAAGTGTTATATAGAATATTTTAGGCTTACTTGGGCCATTGGTTTTTGCAAAGAAACGTTATTCATATTTGCATTCATCTTGTGCTCATGACACAATCAGGCTCTGAAAACAAGTCTTACCAGCTTTATTTTCTCAGGGACCCAGAACCAGTTCAGAATAGCATCTTACAAACTTAGGATCCGACACCGTTGTACCATTCCTCTAATGCTAAAATAACTTCAGATGTTCTTTGAGCATCATTAAATAATTAATTCAAGGATTACTGGCATTTATGCATTAAAGGAAACATAAATTAATAATACAATAGTCAGGGCAAAATGTAAGCAGATCAAGTCTCATTCAAGCTGGAATAAAAGGAAGTCAGGCTCAGGTGGGGTACAGGTTACATATTTAAAGATATAAATTTCAGGCTTGAGCTGGGTCAGGCCAAATGGTCCTCAGGCCAAGCCAGGTGAAATTCTAAAATTTTTAGCCCATGCAGACCTCTAATATGCAGTCAAGACTTACTACACAGTACCCACGCTACTTATTTGTCATAGATTCGTACCGTGCAAACATTTCTTCCATCTTCATGTTATCTTCATATAATTTTTTAACATCTTGTAAAAGACTGCTAAATGCGCCTTCAAAATGTGTCACCAGATGGTGGGGCGTGTCTGATGTCTGTAGTTCTTCATACAGTTTTGCAAGCTTCTCTCCGCTGTAAGAGGAGTAGTTTCAAATATTTAACAACTAAATATTAAAGTTTTAAAAATAATTGAAATTTGAATCTGACATCAGTTGAATTGGTTCTCAGTATTCTGTGGTTTTTTGTCACAATCATCATGATTAACAATGAAGTGCACATTTTATGTTTATATTGTTATGTTAATGATGATTATAAAATTTAAATACAAATTCTTATCCATACATATTCTTCTGTCTTTATAGCTTATAGTAATTAGTTACATAAATGAAACTATGACATGAATATTTAATTAATTTGTTTTCTCAGCTAACTGCTGCATAATACATTCCATAATTCAACACATTTATGGTAAAACTAACATGAGGAGGAGGAATGGTGTGCCCAGCTGCTGTTTATATTCACACAGAAGGAAAAATTCGGACGATCTTTGAAATTAAATGATAATGGATGTCAGATGATCAGGCCTATGATCAGCTTTGAGTAAGAAACTAGAAGAAGAATTGAAGATATCACTTTTCAGTTTTTATATACTGTTGCTGTAAACAAACAAGCTGTATTTCACTCAAAGGAATATAACCATGCCTTCTATTTGTTTTGCTGATTAAATTATCCTCATCTATGAGATAATGTATACAAATATTTGAGTACCAACAAAAGAGATAATCTTCCATTATCTTCTGATAACTGAATGCAGTAGAACTATTATAATTACTTTTTTCAATGGCTTTTTTTCATCATTGTATGCCCCATTGTCAAACCTCCCTTTTCACAAACCTTTCAATACTGTCATCGTGCAAATATCAGCATATATTATTTTGGTCCTCATATTGCCAGGCAGAACATAACCTAACATTTCATTAATTCGAACATTTCTCTGTATACCACACCATTATGTCCCAATCCATCTATTTGAAATATCAGCTTCTTTATGTAACTTTGTTTTTGAGTAGATCCAACATAGTCCATCGGCCACAGTCTTGATTTGATGAAGAGAGCAGACAGTGGTTGAAAATGGTTTTGTGATATCAGATATAAAATAAATCCCTGCTCAGTGTGGGATGTACATACCTTTATCAGTAAAAGAAATTCAAGTAACTAAGTCATGTTTTGATTACAATTCCGTTAACATCTTTAATTTACGTAAATTTATGGCCATGTACCTTACTCACACTTTCTACTTTAATAGTGTGACCAAGATGGATAAATATATTAAATACATCCAGGTTATGTCTGAAATTTTTAACGTATGTACTTTAAGGTACATTTTATATTTTGAACGGAAGGTGCCAGCCCTGCGTACCGCCGTAGAAAAGCATTGCCAATAGACATTCGTTCTTTTGGAACAATGAATGAAAAATATCACGTAGCACGCGTGACATTTATAACATTCTGACATTGTTAGCAAAATACCTCCCCACCCCTTCCCGTGCTGTAATAACTGGCACTGGTAAAGAATCACAAAGAATTGCGTTCTTTCTTTTATTAAAAGAGAGGAGCCAACATAATTTTTTTGTATCTACATTTGCGTGTGTGTGCGTGTAAAATATTATCGAAAGTCGCGGTCGAAAGGTTTGCAAAACTCGTACTTCATATTTCGAGATCGATATTCGTCAAATGTTGGGGCAGGACTTTGGAATAAATCTCGATTGCTTCCTTCCAAATGTTTCCTAATTTTTCATTCACAGTAACCTCCCCATTAAACAACGTATAAACTCTGTAGCTGAAAAGTATCCTGATATAGGCCTAACCAAACAAATTTAATCTCTCAGCAGATTTTTTACCTAATATTTTTCCTGTTCCATTTTCTACAAATGCTGAATGAAGTTCTTTCAAACTTAATTGTTTTTATTATGCAGCTCTTATGCTTATAGACTATAATTACGAAAGAAGGTGATGTGTAGGCCTCTCGAACAAGACGTGTCTTATTAAAAGAGTCGATGATTCATACACACGCTTCTGTTTAAACACAAAACAGACCTTCATACGTATTACGGTAAATTACACATTACATTGTGGTAGCATCGCTTGTTTTAAAATGTCTCCAATTTATATGCATACGTGTCGGAAAGTAAGTAATATACATTACCCTTGTAACCTATTTTTAAAACGACATAATAACCCAGTAACACAATAGTAGTCCTTGTAGCGGAACGAGAACGAGAATCGAAGAGGGATATAAGCCGAACGATTTTTTATTATCGACTGGCAAATGTTACTTTAAATTAATGGGACAGGCGACACATTTTTTAAAACAATTCTGTTTTAATAAGTCGTAACATAATAAATAACACATTAAATAACTAAAGCTGTAGAATTCTTGAGAAGCTAATAAATATTACGCTCGGCTACTCAAGAAATACCCCGTCTTTTATGGAACCAGAAGGTTCATTACCATGTACACAAGAGTGGACGCTAGTCACTACCATGAGCCAGATAAATCCAATCACATCCAAAAATTCTATTTCCCTAAGATCCATACTGATATTATCCTCCTCCTGTTTTGTGCGCCGTACGTACGTTCTTGGAAATAAAAACAAGCCAACAACATTGTCAAAGAAAATAATCGAGTGTTACGTAAACCCGCGTCTTCAAAGCTGTTAATAAATTTAATGGTTTGAAAGCGTTGGTATAGCTTATAGCCTATTGTCGATAGAGGAAAGTTTTGATGGTTGTTGTAATAAATAGCTGATAACCTGAAACACGTTCAGGCACGAACATCGTCTATCTTCCGGAACAACTTACACGCAATGAGTCACTCAGCATAGTGACTATGCCACGGGCTGGAAAATCGGGTTTCGATTCTCGTCAGGGACGAGAAATTTCTATATTACGTATCGCGTCAGACCTAGTTCAGACTTCCACCCTGTCAAATGGGTATCACGGAATCTTTCGCCGGGGTTAAAGCGGACGGAGTTATAACTCCACACCCTCATACGTTTTCATTTTATAGACCTAAGTGCCTCAGTAATTAAAGAAGAGGTTGTCAATAACCTCTTTGCAGGTTTAATTTATTTCAAACATTCCACTGATAAACCGATAATAACCAATAACTCTGATGCCATCAGCGCCGGCATTATGAAGAATGGTGGTTGGGGGGAGGGGGGTCTCACGGTGCCCCCCAGTCAAAATTTTGCAACATTAACAATTTGTATTAACATCAATATATAAATATGCCTACAAAATTCAGGCACCCCTTCCAGAAAGCTTGCAGTTTCTGGTCGACTCATATTTTGTCGATATAAAACGTAGGATATCGCATATCGAATTCCACTGAAATACGGAACAGAAAAACTCTTGGAACAAAAATGGATTCAAAGACAAATGAAAGTCGTTATTCATATTACGCCTTATAGAACTCGCCTAAAGACCTTGTCCGATTCTGCCGTAACTCATACGCCTAAACACAAAAATGAAATTACTTATGCTAGAAGGTCTCTCTTGATAGTAGGCATAGTCATATTTCGTTCCGATATCTACCGTCAAATTTCTCTTTCGTAAAGTAAAAAAAATGCGATTCTATAGCATTACAAAAATAAAACATATGCGAGGTATCATAATCACGGGACCCATGTATGGGCGTCACCGTGAAGATAATAACGAAGGTTCTACATAACCAGGTCAAGGGCTACGCAGGATAAACATAGTTCCAATACCTCAGTCCACAGGAATCTAACACGTGCCAATTTATAAACAGGCTATTTTGCATAATAAAATTTTACTTATTACACATGATAAAAGCGAGGTTAGATTTTTGATACTTGGACGGAAACGTATAAATTTTAATATTTACCGCACTCACACAAAAATTCCTCGTTATATCACGAAAATTAGGGTGTTAAAAAATTGTCGTTCTGAATGTTAAACTACTTAACAACGCTGGTCTAAAATATGACACGCTTCAACAATGGGATCGTGGCTTCGGTTCCCACACGAAGCAACTACATCAGTGTAAGTGGTCCGTATTAATTTACAGTATTTTCAAGTTGTTACTGCTTTTCAAAATTACATTCAGCTTTTTACCAAATCCGTGCGTACTGATGTATAAAATAATCTTATTACTGTTATTTACTGACCAGTGTAAAGGATTCGTGTACTCGTAGACATATTTTCCCAAATCCAAAGAGTATCACAACAGAATTTTTGTTTTCTATGCAAGTAGATTCAATTGTACGTTTAGTAACTCCAGAAACGATGTGCTGAAGAACAACAAATTTAAGTGGAATGAGAACAGTCATTTGCGTTACTAGAAGCGAGAGATAGTTACACTTATCTCACTTTTAAATTCAGAATAATTATTTATTCTGAATGACTAGAGCATGAGAGACTTCAAAAGGCGAAGGATTAAAACGTGGAGAACAAAACACACTGTTAACGGAAAACTAAAAGGCGAAGGATTAAAACGTGGAGAACAAAACACACTGTTAACGGAAAACTTAAAGGCGAAGGATTAAAACGTGGAAAACAAAACACACTGTTAACGGAAAACTAAAATAACGACAATAACTTCACCTTGTGTTGAGGAATTTACGAACGTTGGCTTCGCCAACTCCTGCCACTAAATGGGACCACGCAGTTCTCGCTTGAGAGCGACGTCGCTCGAGTTCTGCATGGCATGTATCAGTTTCCTCGCTGCCCCCGCACAATCCTCTCCGATCAGCTCCATTGCTGACCTGGAGAGAACTACGTCGTGAACTAGGCGCTAAGAAATCTCTAAATCCCCATCTGAAATCTTCGAGACTCACTTGACCATCGCCGTCATGGTCTAGATCAGTGAAAATCGTATCGGAATCGTCTGGATCAATGTCGAAACTGGAGCAAAGATCACGAAATTCTGAGGGTCCTATGTGCCCCGAGCCCTGTTTGTCACAAGCACGGAACAACTGCTCAAGTTGAAGTTCGTGGGCCATCGCAGGAATAAATCCGAAAAAAAAAGTGAAGGCGGACTTCGCGGGAGATTATGGAAATGCCGATTAACCGTGGCACTCAGCCGAAGAGCCAATTGCTTACTGCTCGCCTGGCCGCAGGGACGTATATAAAAATTAATGACGTCTATTTGTCTCACAATGGACAGGTGGCGATATGACGTCACAAGGTCGCAAATAGGAAAATGTATGTAGCCTTTTAAGTTTCCGTGCCACCATCAACACACATAAATAAATAATTTCTATTTAATTTGAAGGAAACGTTTTTTTATAATTTACATAAATTTATTCTCTTCACATTTATTGATGATTCTGATACACTTTAAGGGTTTTAATTTTATTATTGCAGAGCTGTCTCCATTATCATTTTGATATGACAAATACTGCTTTTGTTGAGGCAACTCATTTTTGACACACACTGTATGTAGGGATGTCAGCTGATATGGAATTCTGCACCAACAACAGAGTCATTAGTAATGTGACATTTTAATAGTTATGGACTTTTCTCTAATGGACTACTTGCAGAAATTGAAACAACTTGGACATGTCTTTTGGATACTTGCTGTCGGTACTGGTAGCTAAAATTTTACATGGAAGTATCATTTTAAATAAGATCTCAATAGGACAATACTGACACGGTTTTAGCGTACCGTAGCAATGTGTATTATCCATACAAGAATTACCATAAATTATAATATAAACTACAATTTTGTTTGTCACAAACCCAAAATTGTCTTGACCGTTAAAGGTAAACAGATTTTTACAATATTTTCCTGATAGAAAAATATGCAGTGTTTTGATGGTGACGGAGGTATACTACAATCCCAAGATATTAATGATTATAATAAAATTCATTTTATTCATTCAGAGAATGGATAAAAGTAAAATTAATATATCTGCATTTACATTATCCATTGTAATTGGGGTACTCCAGCCAATTGGCATATGTGAGATTCATGGGAATGTAAGGAAGACAATTTACAGACACCAGTACTGTTAAAGGAAAGTGTTAGAGGAGCATTTTTTATGTTTTCCATTGTACAAAATGACGGGAAATATGTCAAAAAAAATTCCTCTGACATCAATTGGTAGATCTCTTTTCACGAGATACGAGGAACATGTTCACAGCCGCAGATATAGAAAAGTGATATTCTGAATTTGCCTTACACATCTTGACTCAAGGCCACAGGCACGGAACGTACGAAACTAAGGAAAATTGTTTTTTTTGGCACAAAAATGGCATAAACACATAAAACTGAATGGAACACATAACTTCTAAGCCTTCATTACAGGCTGGTTTATGCTATAACTGATGGTAATTCTTATATTTTAACCTTCGGTAATTTACAATGCAACACCCAACAATAGAAGGGAGACTGAAAACTTAATTGTACAAAAATTTAAATTACAACTCAAACACAGCAACAAACCATACATAAAAATACAAACCCAGAATCATTCCATGAGTAACTGATGCAATACCCTTGTTAACCAAACACCAAACAGATAACAAGGGAAAAACATGGCCAGCAGTAATTAAAACGAATCGCAACACAAGATAGAAAAATGCATTTTACTGTAAAATAAACAATTGTATTTCACATTCAAAGAATCACATTGAAAGAACTGATAAGTAACAAATAATAATAATCTCAACACAGATCAATCAAATCAGGGTCATAAAGCCATAACCGGACATTGATAAATGCCTAAAACACGATACTTCACTGCTATTGAAAATAATTTCTAGACTTCCAGATCCCCCTTTAACTACAACAAAAGAAAGAAATTTCAAATGTAATTTTAGAAAATGTAGGAACAATATCATCTTCATAAGGAATAGACCACAACCACAAATGTACCAACATTAATGTTCAAATACAGCTACCCTGAAGATAAAAGCTGTAGAATGCAAGTACAGTTCGTAGTAACATATTGTATATCATTGCCTTCACTTAGCCACACCATTAAAATAAAATCATACGAATAAATTAAAACATCAGTGCACGGCTTACTCAGTGGAGTGAAAAATTCTTAATTTATTATATGACAAGTTTTAAATATAAATAAGAAAAACAGGAATTTACAACATTTTCATAACAAGGCCTGTAAGATTCAATGAGATTAAACCCCACGAAGACACTCTCATGTTATGAGAACTCAAAACACTATTTACGAAAACTGGTATTCAGCAGTTTTAAATGCAAAGATAATATACATTTTGTTTTAATAACAAATTTCATTTGAAAATGTACATCAGATATCAGTGATAAAAATTATACTAAATATAAGCAAACTTCCTCACTTGATATATAAATGTTAACACAGGATGAAGAGTCGTCTTATAGATCTTTTAGCCATCTCCAATTATACTGCCAAATGGCGCCCATCTTTAAAATCTGTACGCAAATGGACAATAGACCTCAACCTTTTTAAGCTATCAGTGGTTACGTTTAATGAGATACAAACTGAGATTTTTTCGAGAAACTCTTATAATAAAGAACAGAAGAACATCAGCAGACTTAATTGAACAGGTTTTTACTTTATCAGCTCTCCAAAGTGCCTGAATATGATAATTACATATCGTGAAAAAAGTTACACTTTAATGACTTTCCAAAAACACACAAGTTAATAAAAAATTCAGAACATAAGATACAAACACATTCACCTGCAATTCTTCCAGTATTATACCTAATGGTAATTACCGATTCTGATCTTAAAGAAACTCAGAATAATCAATATACAGTGGAAAATTGATTATTATGCATCATTCAAGTACGCCAGAAATTTGGACTCTGCTGTAATCTTCTTTCAAAGTTACTGTACCATGACTGTAGAACTGACAGTGGAACAAATGTTTCATTTGGATTTGCTGTCATTTGCACTTGAGTAACAGCAAAACTAGAAGCATAATTCAAGAAGTTCTCCAACATCTTCTGACAAAATAGCACAAAATTGCTTGTGGTCTGGCTTGTTACCAAAGCTGACTGTTGTTGCACGTGCAATATTGGCTCTACTGATATTCCAATCTGAGCGTTATGAGAAAATAACTGTTGACCAAATGTATTCATGTTAGGTCCCATATCATTGCTGCCAACAGCTCCCTTCTTCAGGTTGCTTATTTTGAATATAGCTGATGGTTTGTCCTCTGATAAATGACCTAATAGTTGCCATGTCGGAGGAGCGTTTGGATCAGGCCAACTAAAATAAACTGAAATTATGTCATTAATACTGTTTACCAACCTTCTAATTAATGATATTTTAATATCCCCCAAAGATGGAAAAATGGGAAGAAGATGGAAGGGTAATGTTTAGATGCATCTTAAGGAAGTAGGCTGTGTGGATGGATGGTGGGAAATGACTCAGGATCGTGTGTAGTGGCAGCATTTGTTATAAACAGTGTCGAGCCTTTGGGTTCTGATAACATGGTTAGTTACACAGTTCTAATACTAACCTAAACCTCCCATGCCCTGTGGAAATGGAACAGTTCCAGTCAGGAACAAAACAATATGGTTGATGTGGTCTGCATCATGGATTGTTGTTATAAACTGAGTTTCCCCAATCTGCTCAAAAGTTTGAACCTGCAATGCAGCAAAAACCATTATCACAGAGCTCCTAAATTAAGCACTAGCCAAGCACATGAACTTTCAGTTGTCTACACCAATGTGAGTTTCAAGTTAGTTGAGAGACAGACGCAATATTAAACATATAATATGGGCAATTTACATTCTAACTTGTTAGAAACATTGCTTACTAAAATGTTATTGGTTAGAAAGGTTGTGGTCATAAACATAATAATTCTGTTTTATTTACTACCCTAATTACGTCAGAAGTATTTGGAATCTGGGTTAAAAAGACTTCACTACGAATACTGTAACTGGCACACATACATAATATACATATATACAAATATAACAGATCTCACCAGTCGTCCCGAAACAACAGCACCAAACATGCTCATCTTCGCACACGGCGACGGAACGCAGCCTAATGTCACACAACTAAAATTCACCACGGTTCACCTATACCATAGATGACCATATCACGGATCACCAAAAGAACACTCTTATGTTATTGTGCCATTGAATGCAACCAAGAACCTAAAATATTTTGCAAAATTTGTCAGTAAAGTTAAATTTGAAGATCTGTAATGCAAAAATATGAACAAAACGCATGTAGTATTACCCTGTATTGTAAACGAGCATGCTGTTTAATAAATATTTAAAAAAGAAAAATACCATCTACAATAAAGGAACTCGATTCCGTAAGTTGGCAACATAGTGCCGAAAGACTTTATATATTATGCCGCCATCTATCCGCAGCTATTATACATCAGGTGGTAATAGCCACTGCCAGAGACTCAGTTGATAAAAAAGTGTACCACTAGAAAACTTCATATTCCTCCAAGGAACACTTGAAATTAGAAATCATTTTATAACCTTGAAACCCGGAACTGATTATTTTTAAAAACGAGCGTGTGTGAACTAGTTTAACCAGTATCACTGCAATCATATCCATCAGAAGAATTTCTCAGCATTTTGCATTTTATTTAATCTAGGGTTGGAAACCTTTACATTAGCTTTGACCGTTTTTGCTACAAAAATCTATCAAAGGGTCCCATATCTCTGCTAAAGATGAATTTTAAGAGTTGAGAATCATCTGAGATTACATTATTTTCATCCAATGCCAGTGCACAGTAAAGAAATTACTTTGTTATTTTTTTTATACTGTTCACATAAGTTTTAATCTTTTATTTCTTGTACCATTGAATATGCTGAATAACCAATGCCTTATTTATCACTTAACTCAGCAGTAAAAGTCATACAGACCTCTGTGCTTTATTTTGTAGTGTCATTTCGAATTTTACTCCCCAAGAACTTATCTTTCTTTGCAAATAACACACGAGTGTAACGCTGTGAAAGATGCAGATAAAGTCCTTTGTCCACTGTTCCTTAAATATTTGGCCTTCTTGCACTGGCTAATTCCCAAATCATGTAACAGGCTGCACAAAATAATTGTGAGGGCCACAAGTGGCATGCAGGTCACAGGATGCTGATCAAAATCCACTTACAGAAACATACCGGACAATTATACGAGTAGATTATATCAAAGGTATAAAAGTTCAATATTCATAAGCATTTTGGACAGTGTGGTCGACTAAAATTCAATGAAAAACATGTTTCCAATATAGATATTTGCATTCAGCCTCTTAACTGTGCTGTGTCACCTGTAGTCTGTACCAGAGATGACGAAAGCACCTCCCATGTCTCATAATTCGTGATATTAAATTGCTGCAGAAGCTGGCAAAACTGCGCGCACACAGGTCAAAAGGCTCTTACGTGAAATTAAAAGTCGTGATCAAGTGATCTGTTACAAAATTTAGATAAGGTACCAGATATGTTTATTAAAGGAAAAGTACACGAACATTTTATACATACTTTAGTGTTGAAATACAACGAAAATATATACATGATTTCTATATTTTTAAACATTATTTCAACATTTTTCATGTCAGTAATCAATAGTATCCAATGAAATAGCATTTCAGAGTAAAGGCTTATGGTTCTAGTATAAACCAAGCTGGGGTGGGTTGCCAAACATACCTGTCCATGAAGGAGGGGACTCCCAATCACAATCAAATGGGACCTGAAATCAGAAAGAAATTATTGTAAGATTTCAGTTGATGAAAAAAAAAATGAGAACTGTCTGAAAAGTTAAATGATACACATGCATCTTACTATCTGTTCGAATGTATTACTTTAATTCACTGAGACAGTGTCGCAACTGTGAATGTGCATGTTGATACGATCGACAGAAAGGAAAAATTTAAATATCTTATTTCCCCACTATCGCCTTTCTGTTCGTCAGTAACTACCGTCAGATATAAAAGTAACATAACAAAACTTACAAGTATTTATTTTTCCAGTCTATACACAAACCTTGTTTTAAAATAATGTTGTTAAAATTATTTATAACATTTACAATATAAATTGCATTATGTTATATTTTATGGCGCTTTTCTGTGTCGTATAATATTACATTTATCACATGTCGTCGAAATCAAAAGCGCTGTGATAGATGTAATATTATACGACACAGAAAAGCGCCATAAAATATAACATAATGCAATTTATATTGTAAATGTTATAAATAATTTTAACAACATTATTTTAAAACAAGTTTTGTGTATAGACTGGAAAAATAAATATATGTACTCTTAAACCCATTTGCAAATCAGAAATGGAGACCAGCTCTCAGTATACTTAGAACTGGTGTAAGATACAACTGTGAACAAAATAGGTATGGAGAGTAAGTACAACAATGAGAAGCAGTGCTGCAGTGTCATTCTGTGCATCACCAATGACAGCAGAAAGTCACAACCACCACCATACGTGGTGTTGAAAACAAAGATAATATATGTAGGAATGTAGACGAATAGACCACTCACAAATGAAAGAATGAAATGTTTATGGCAGTACAATTCAAACACTTTCAAATATGTTGGTTATTGACAGTTTTCATGGTACATATATTTATTTTTCCAGTCTATACACAAAACTTGTTTTAAAATAATGTTGTTAAAATTATTTATAACATTTACAATATAAATTGCATTATGTTATATTTTATGGCGCTTTTCTGTGTCGTATAATATTACATCTATCACAGCGCTTTTGATTTCGACGACATGTGATAAATGTAATATTATACGACACAGAAAAGCGCCATAAAATATAACATAATGCAATTTATATTGTAAATGTTATAAATAATTTTAACAACATTATTTTAAAACAAGGTTTGTGTATAGACTGGAAAAATAAATATATGTATTGATATAACACAAACATGACGCAATTAAGATATATATATAAAAAAACAACAACAACAACTTACAAGGTTCAACAACGTGTTTAAGTAAGTGCACAACTTTACTGCATCTGGGATGTTATCACCGTCAGAGCAGTACTTCATGAGAACCAGTGCTGCCACACCTCCCACATTACTGCAAATATAATTATTTGCAAATCATGTGACATACAAGGATATTCTATACTACATCATCAGAGCAACACAGAACTAAATCCAATGGAAATTCATTGGCACGTTCATCATCATACTTTTATGTTAATTTTGTCCAGACTGCCAGTTTCTAATTATATTTAATTTCAGCGTAAAACTTAACGTTCAACCCAAAGGACAAACACAGACTGAGGATGTTTGGATCTAAGATGGTGAATGTAACTCGTGGGACAGAAATAATTACTCAATTACTATAATTAGCCACACGAGAAAAGAGCACTCTAAATTTTAGTTGAAAAACTTAGAAGGAAGAGAATACTCAGAAGACCTACACATAAAGTGAGAATAATATTAAAATGGATCTGAAAAAATATGATGTGAAGGTATGTTTAGATTCGGCCGGCCCCACACAGGGTCAAAAACAAAGAGTACAGACTTACCAAGCATTAAAAAGCTTCCATGAAATGCCACCTCCATGCATAGAAATCTTCTTTGGTTCTTGAGATGCATCATACAAAATGACAGATTGTGTCTGAGGGTCTGATGTTTGGTTCTCTACTAACCTAAATTGTATGTTAAAATAAAAATAAAAATGAACAGAAATGCATACACAGAAGCAAATGATGTTGAATTTTAAGATATAATTAAGTGTTAAAAAAAGCTTTTAAAATGTAAATTAACAAATTTAAGGGCTCTGTGTCTGCCCTTTAAAAATTAACATGTTTCATAGAACATTAATAAAGGTTTAATAACAATTCTGAAATACATCAAACCTAACTTTTATAATGACATTTACAGTATTTCAGAAGCAAGCCTTACCTTTTAAGCGCTTCACACTTCTCTGCAAATGTTGGCGAGACCACAGACTTCACAGATGGTCCCACAATTTCACTGTCATTTCTCATGTAGTCAGAGATGCCAGTTAAGATGACAATCTTATCAATGGAGTTTTCCTTTATCCATTCTATTAGCCTGTCCACAAAATCTTGACTTTTTTCCTACATGAGAAGCGAAGTGAACAAAATAACATATATGACACACACAGGAGCAGAAGTCACGATATGATGCTAATAAATTATGAAACACATGGATTTGGGGCAGTCAAAGCCTGTAATAGGCTGTAGAACCAGTGATGATGATTATGGTTATGGAACAACTCATACATTCAGTAATAACAAGTCAGCCCATCAGCCCAGAAATTTGTGATCTTCCAAAATCTGTTCAGCTGTTGCCAATACAGAATCATACATTATCAAAATGTTGTCTGCATTCCTCATTATATGTCTTATTATGTATCATACAACAGTATAATTACAATACTCCACATACCTGCATGATTGGTGAACGTATCTGGAAAATCACCATCTTCCATTGTTCTGAATAAAATACTGAAATTATAAACAAAAAATAATTATTTTCCCAGTTAAAACACACAATTAACATACTAAAAGTGATCAGTATTAAATGACACAAAGTTACTGATTAATGGGCTCGTTACCAACTAACACACACAGACTAACAATTTCTGCAGTGGTGGAAGACTCTGGTTAAGTTCTTGGAAGGCGAAGGTGAGTCTACCATGTGGCTTTGTTGACCAATTAATTGAAATAACGAACGGTAAGAATTAGAAGCAAGCTGGCGTGGTTGCCCCAAGTGTGCCAGGGGATGTTTGTTGAGCTCGAAGAAGTAGTCCCTTACATTCACCACTTGTTGTTAAAGCTGTTTCACTTGAACTGTAGGGGTCTCCCCCCACCATTGGCATAATAGCTGAATGCCAAATTAATCCAATCTTCCGTGGATTCATTTTGGTTATAAGAAGATCAACAGCAAGTTGACCGGCATTTCCAACTGAGACGGAGGGCTGAAACACAAAACCATTCCAAAAAGTCACGTGTGAAGGAACTTGGGCTTTTCTGTAACAAATACATATCCCACTACATTTCAAACGATTACCAATTTCCGAGTCACTAGCTGTCCTATATGAAAATGGGAATTAAACCTTCATCACTGAAGTCAAGGTTGGTTTGATTTATTATTACAAAACATTTTGAATTGAAGTATTTGTCAACAAAATTCATAATCCCCTTGTTTAAAAATGACTTGTGTAACATTAAAATTAATTAATTTATTAACAATGGTGCATCAGCAGACTTGGTCATGTGCTTGAAACATCCTACCAAAACAGAAGACCATGGCATGTTTCCATGGTACATAATAGAAATGCAATGTTAATGCTTATTCTGTATGTTAAGTGGAGTTAGAGAGGGAATTTTCTACATTTTGTCATCAAATGTTTTTGGTTGGTAAAAGTTTTATGAAATGTATACAATCAACGTACAGTGTAAAACTTTCAACTGGTTACCTAACATAAGTAAGTATGTATACTTACAAATATCAATATGCAGCCTTTGAAGTTCACACTTTCCTGGAGATGGATCATATTGATATAAACTTTCCTGCATGCACTGTAGAAATGTCAAATTAATTTTTTTTTCAAATTAAAACTTCAAACACAAACACGCAAAACACCCCTGCTGCCAGTTTCAAGTCATCGTCGATCAGCGCAATCGGAAATTTGCGTTATATCGATACTTTTAACTACGTCACACAACTAACAAACTAACAGCCCGTCCTCTGTCACACGCACTTCCACATGTCTATTGATGCAGTCTATTAATTAACATTTGAATTTAAACTGTCCGTATTTTCTTCCACCACCATATCCTTTTCTTGGCAGTCTTACTTATGAAACGGGAATGTAGACACTGCACTGCTGCTGCCACCATAACCAGGAGAATGAAAATGATTTAAGTCGTGCTCTGTTTATGAGAAATTAAAAGAAACAGCAGACTTCCCAGAGATTACACTGATGTCAGTGGTGCCAATCAGAGATCAAATAATTACGAATGCGGCAGAATTGTTATCTATACGCACATTTACAAAGGTATAGAACCGTGCATTAATTACCCACCCACAATATGCTGAACACTGATGAAATGTCTAATTTACTTTCATAAAACTGCAAACCAAATGTCATGAAAACAAACAATTTTAAATACAATTATCCTAGAAACAAAATGCAAATACTTTATAATTACCTATTTATGTAAATCAATGTATCAGCTGTGATCTTAGACCCAACTACAGTATAGCATGACACAAACTTAAGTACAATTTAAAAGGCTTATAACTTGTTATTTAGACCACATTCTGAAGAACGAATTGCTCAGTGTGATTTCCATGGGTGATACAGCATATGTCCCATCTGAATGCATTCTAAGCTCATATTCCATATAACACATCTTCATCAACACTCATTGCAGTATCACAAATTCTCAGGAATATAAACTACTTAATGTAGCCCCAGAAATGAAAATCAAGGGGTGTGATAAGGTGACAGTCACAGTTTACATAAACTCCATATGGCGATGTATAACTGATACTATACAACATGTAATTAAAGTGTTAACTATGACAAACCTATCTTGTTTAAGGAATACCGACATTTTAATAGTGACAGACAAAAACAGAATTTATAACAATTGTAATAAACACTAAGATATCATGTCGTGATATAGTTATATGATAAATTCAGAACACTACACCCTCCAACTGAAGGAATCAATTTTGCAGTGCAAAAATATTGGCATGGTAGAGAATATACATGCAAACTCCTATACATTAACTAAAAACTAATGCATTCATGTTAAAATCAGATCCATTTTATATTTACCACTAGGTACATACATACACAACTCAGTTCTGCCAACAAGACAAGTAACTCAGATCTTTGCTGAATTCCCAATGAAAATGACAGTATCTAATTCAAGGCAATATATGGACTGACAGGTACATTATCCTTCCTTTAGAAGTCTTTGCTACAGCTATGTCATTTCTCGATAATTTGATTATTATGTAGTTGTATTAATTTTGTTCTTATGCTGCATCTGTAATTGGCTATCTAGCTGTTGATGCAGGACATTTATAATAAAGAAGTGAATTGAGAAAAAGATGTGAACAATGACTTAGCTGGCCATGTATCACAATAGCATACGACTAAGCCATTAACCCAGAAGTTAAAGTGTTGCCAGCAGCCCCATAGTATAGGAGTTCAAATCCCCCATTTCCTTAAAGGTTAAACCATGAGTAGTTAACAGTAGGTGAGTAATGGAACTATGAATTAAATTACTATTTATTGATTGTAACAATATATTGAAAGCCCAGAGAATGCTCAAATCAGTTAATAAGAACTTAATGTCTACGTAAAAAAATAAAACCTTGTCTCTTGCCTAAAAAACTAATGCCCATCTGCGTATTATGCTAAATATTTTTTACGTTATTGAAACTAGAATTTATATTGATACACATGACTTCTTAGAATGCTAGGATATGCATGAAATGATTAGATTGTTGCCATGTGGCATTTATCTCTGTCTTCTGCATCTAGTAAAATTACAGGTCTTATAGAATCATATATGAAACTTCTTACAATTATATAACATGAACTAAAAGGAGTCAGTACCTATACAAGCACCATACTTAAATTAGTCTAATGGGCACTGTTTAAGCTGCATGAAAGTATACTTACAGATCATAAGAGAGTGTTTAAAAAAGAAAGGTAGCAGCACATCAGATGAGTGGGAGGTTTCGGATAACCCACCACGTAGTACAAACTTCACAACAACTGATTTCCATCTCTTTGGACCCCTAAAGGAGCATCCGTTAGGTAAGCAATTTGCAACCGACAGCAACACGAAATACATTGTCGTTTCCCGGCAGTTGGCAGCAATTTCTTTCACACCAGAACAATGTCTTGGTGTCATGGTGATTTAACACCTGCGGTGAATATGTGTACTAAATTTCTTTTTATGTACCACATGTGAATCAATGGAGAAATGTAGTCCTTCACATGGGAGTGCATGTTACCTCACTTTTTGAAACAGTCTCGTACATACAAAATTTAGAAACGTTCAGCAATATCTGGTGATAAAGATCACTGTTACCAGTATAATAAGTCTGAAACATGGCCTTGCTGGAATGATTAATACAGATTTAGGTGTAACATTTGAATTTGTGGATTATCAAATTGTTATTTTAACCACTACCATTTCATCTTAAGTTACTATATATATATAATTATATCTGTGCTCTTTTGTATGATTTAAAATTATACAAATAACCACCCATGAGCCACTAAAAAATCATGTTAACTGAATGTCATCAGCTACATGTTTTAAGAAGTGAAATTCAGGATTGTGTACCTTTTCATTCCACATGGCTTCTATATGTACATATGGATGAAGATACCAAAAGATAACCATGACTGCAACTACGAACCATACATGGATTTACATAAGGCATGGACTTATGATAAAGTCTCTCTGCCAAAAATATGGAGCCAAACAGAGCAAAGTTCTGTAAGTGCCCCAACCACTGTTTAATATATACAATTACACCAAATGGAAGAAAGCACACATATTATAAAAATTATTCCAAAAAGAAGCCAACTTTTGAGAGAGTGTACAATGGGCCATCAACACATTTTGGCTTCACAATCTACTGTCTATTAATCTAATTATAACTGAACCTGATTTCTGATCAGTAAGCTAAACGAGACAATGCGGATTCGATTATTATAAGCCAGAAGCTACAATTTTTCAGTTTCAAGGCTAGTCTTTATTGATGCTTAATTACCCAAAAAAGAAAAAAAATCAGTTTTGTTTTCACGTTTATGTCTTCTCTAGATTGAATCATGATTACAACATGCTCCTTCTGTCATTACATAGCCCATCACACTATTAAGGAGCCAATTAATGACATATACTGAAGGCCCACTGTATATTCATTAAGTCAGTAAAGAAAGAAAAATCATCAACAAAAAATTTACTGATACATCTTGTAAAAATTCACGTGTAAATTGAAGTGTATGTGCGACATAATGAATAAATGAGCGAATACTAGCATGTAACAACTTTACGCAAGAATCGTAAAGTAACTACAAAGTAATGTGACAAAACGTATGATGGCTCAAACATTTGTTATATACAGCCTGGATTATCTGTGGACCAGAATGAAACAGCACCAAATATAATGATGCATCTCCCTTCACAATATTATAAAAAATTACTTAGAATATCTGTACAGTGTACAACTTTAAATATAGCGTTATACATCTACACTAAGTGCTGATTTATTAGTTCAGGTGTACTAACTTTATCCCTTCAAAATACTTTTGTTAAGTCTACAAGACATTTATGATTATGTAATACTTTGAAATGTCTGTTTAGCAACATGTGAGTTTGTTTCTCCATACTATCCAATTCCACAAAACTATAAATTAATACATGATTCAATTACATGGTGAAGTCAAAAAGTTTGTAAACTTCAAAGCACACAAGCTTACCTCTCATCAAGGCAGGTTTCATTGCACACCACTTTTGAAATAGTTCCCTTTCGCTGCTAGACACTTTTCTGCCGGCAGCCTTACCAAAGCTGGAAACACTTCAGCAGGCCTTTTTCTGTGACCTGCTTAATTGCCGACACTGACGCCCCTTGCAGAGGGCTTTTATTCTTATGATTACATAACGTATCAGAATGGACTACATCTAGCAAGAACGAAAGTTTTTTTGCAAGCACAGTGATAATCTACTTGGTCAAATAATCTTTAAGAGTAAAAAGTTTTCTGGATGTTTTCCATCGTCTAATAAAATCATAAAATTACATGACATTTCGGAAATGGGACTCTATCTCCGCCTTCAGGTAGACCTACTCAGTTGGGCCCAATCGATAGAGCTAATCCCTATCTCTGGAAGGATCAAGTGTTAAAAAGAGAACAAGGGTAGAATTTTTAGTAACAAATTAAAACAAAGAGAACAGTCAAGGGGGTTATATTGCTGTAATCAGTATCAGTCATACGTGCATATAATTTCATATACTCATATTTATGTATGTGCACGTGCATACACACACACACACAATTCTTCACTGCCTCTTAATGGGGGGAAAAAACACAACAACACTTAAATGAACTCCGCATCACAAGTTAATATGATATGTTTCACTGATGCAAAAATTTAAATCAAGGCATAAAGATCAATCACTGTCTTCTACCGTCAGGCATCTGAAGCTAAGCAGTATTCCTTCTTCCACAATTACATACCCTGAGAATTTGTTGCTGGTCTTGAAGACGGCTTCCTAGACTGCACATTTAGTATGCTGAGTTTATAATGCACTAAAAGCTTTGAACTGTTACCTTCAAGTAACATAAGCGGGATCAGTGATACGATTACAAGACATTCACCAACGATACAAACCTTTATGCCATCACTTCAATCACTGAGTTACGATTCACACAATAAGTTACTGAAAACCCAATGATCGCCTTTTTTATTAAAATAAGCTGTAGGGAACTGAATGCCTGATTCCCTCCTAACCCTCTGTTCAAGTCTTTGCTGTTCTTCCAGCTGAAATAGAAACAAACGAACCTGAAGAAGTGTACAAATCACCAATCAGTACCTCCTCCATTACGCTGGTCAGAAATATTTAAATGATTATAATTTTGCCACAGACAGAAATGTAACCGTTACTAAAATATTTATAAACAGACTACCACAACAGGATTCTTGAATGCAACATTAATTTGCACAGGTTATTAAACTGTAACCTGCGACATTAATCTGTTTTGTTCAGTCAGATTAAGTAATTCAAACATGACCTTCCACTTTTTTCCTCTTGGGTTCAAGACAGTGTAATTGACTTTGTGTTCCCCAAATTTTTTTTGTGTGGAATTTGGCCTGCTAAGTAACATGACATTTTAGTTCAGACCGGAGCATTTATAAAAGATGATTCAGTAATCACCCCTGATTATAACCCGAGTACACAGACTGTTGACTAAAGTTTGGAATATCATACTTATAATCAATTTAATCCCACTTACAAACTGGTTTAGATCATGTAAATATTCATTACTTATATTGTGACTTACAGTTAATAAGACAAATATTATATTGTACTAATAGGACTGTGAATTTGTACCTAACGAAGTACTATGGAAATCTTCCTCTGTCGGAGAACTAACATAATATGGAAACAGTTTGCTTTAATGAAAAAATGTGTCATATTTCATTAAGGATGGAACAATAGTGTTTTATAATTCAAGATAATTATAATTATACTCACATAATACATAAATATGATTTTATGGAATATTAGCCTGTTTTGTTAGAAGATTTATTTATTCATCATAATTTTATTCAGAAGCATTTGCATGTAAACATGCGCACAGACTAACTAAACTTACCCTTCGCTTATATTCAGTAGCTGCATCAATGTCGCCCATCTTCAATGCCTGCGTAACATTATACCACAGTTTGCGCGACTCATTTCCTCGCTGCTCTGATATTTTTTGTATTCTCTTCTTGTAAGACAGGAGCTCATTAACATTGACTACTTTGCTTTCTCCCTGGAATACAAAAACTCAATTAATTAGTTGTATTTATTATGAATCACATAATAAACAGTTTTATTACACATATACACACACGCGCAGGTACGTTCAGTAGATAATTACTGATATTCACACATACATCATGTGGAAACTGACGCTAGACTTCAGAACCATATCCGTAAATGAAATTAAGACTAACAAGTTACGTGATAAAATTTCATCAGATGTTTAATTTCTGCATAATACATTTGCAATTAAAAAAATTGAAGTAGCACTCACTAATATTTTTTTCTTCTACGCAGTAATGTTCCAAGTGTCTACAGACTACACCTTACTTGAAGTTATTTGACTACTGCTGACAACTATAAGTCAACAAACTCTTTTTGTCCTTTCTGTAAATAATACAATGAAAATTCATTACTGTAAGAAGCTATTAAAACAGCTTTTCTGGTGCACAATTCTATTTATGTTACTACTTACATTTGAGTATATAAATTCATAATGACTATTCCATTCTCCCTGAACTTTGCACTCAAGTGCACCAGTCTGGTCCCTTACTTCAGCTGTCACTTGGTGAACTTTGCCTCCATAGAATGGCTAGACAAATAAATCAAACCCATTTACTATGAGAACATTTTCAACCTTCCTTCTCTCATCAGTTTCATTTCATATTCGTTTTTAATGAAAATGAAATAAATGAGTACAGATACAATACACAGAGAACATCACAATGATTCACAAAGTACATCAAAGCAATCTTTATCACGAAGACTACCCGAATCATTGAACATAAACACAACACAAGACTGGGAGAATTATCCAGACCCACAATAGCAAAACATTCATGGGATGAGGACCACAGAATAAAATATGATAAGGTAGAAATCATAACATAAAGAAAAAAGAGATTACGAAACTGAAACGAGTCATATTCATAAGAGTAACGGAAGAGGCCATCAGTCAACCAGGCCTACACTTAAGTTCCGTATGGCTCCCTCTAATACGCAACAGGAAGTCATTATTCCACAAACAAATCTTCGTCGGCACCTACGAAATGCGGTTCTGTGTAAAGGTTACTGTTTTATTTTCAGCAATATTGCCAACGAGGCCATTTTGTAACTTTTGCGGTATTCGGTAAAACTGACAGACATTACAAACTCTTCATAATTATAAGATTCATGCTGGAACTAATTAAATGGTATAAAATTATGTTGTGAAACTATTTTAATGTTTTTTTGTGTTCGGTACAAAATTGGTTAGAGAAAAAAGTTTCGTCATCTTCTGAGTCCTGACTACTCACGTTATAGGGAATGGACATGCAATGTGCACCGACCTGCTCAATGTCCATGTTGAATGTCACTTCACATTACATTTTAAATTAAAATAATAATTTATCACAAGAAGAGATACTACCTTGGTATGGAATATGATGGCAGCAGAATACCCTGTTGCAGGGCAACTGATGGTAGCTTTACCCCCGAGTTCCACCCAGGGCACTGATATTATCGAACGAGCGTAAGCCGATGGTAAGGTGAAGTCATAGCGTTCACCATGGCTGCCCAAGTGAAGGTTCAATTCTCCAATCATATTCACCCCGACAGACATTCCAGAGAAATTGGACTTGGTCCAAATGGAAGCATTTAAACACATTTTCTTTGCAGGACACTCCACATAAAATGCTGTTACTATTAAAAAGAAAAAAGAAAATGAGCAATATGCTTAAAAGAGACAAATTCTAACATGTACGTAAATCAGTTGAATAAACAGTTTCAATACTGACTAAAGTGTGACATCATTAGCTGGCATCTCAAGAAAGGCGAAAAGAGAAACGAACAAACAAATACTTTTTTTATAAGAACATACCCGGAGGATGGTGAGAAACTTGCTCAGCTGTATAGGTGACTTCAATAATTTCACTTGCTGTAACTGACATCACTTCTTTGTCCTCACCCAAATCTTTCACTGTCTCTGCCGACACCAAACCAGCATTGTTACTCTTTGCTGCTTTCACATACGTCACTGCATGCGTATCACTCAGTTTCACGTGTTCTGTGATGTCAAATGGAGATCTACCTGTTTCAGAATCTTCTGGTAACTTTGGACTTTGTCCAGACGCGGGGCTATCACTTTCAGGATCCACATCCTTATCCGTAGCAATACTTTCAGCCACAGATTTTCCTAACTGTGGACTCAAATTTATAGTCTCATGTGAAAATTTGGCTCTTAAGCTTGTGTGTGTCTTAGAAGCAGGATTTATATTTAGTACCCTCCATGAGCAATGGAATGTTTCTCCAATTATGGGATTATACGGCTTTTTGGCGGCGGAGTCTTTCCGTCCCATATGGAAAGAAGTAAGGTACCATTCAAGGAGTGCCATCATACGGCCAAATGGTGTCAATTCATCAGGTATGCTGCATATACAAAAAAGGGATTTATTTATTAGTTTGCTGAATACAATATGCTCCGAGAATCACATCATAAAATACGCTCTTCTCTAGTAAAATACCAACCAGACAAATAACTGTGGATGTCCCATGCAATCTGCAAACATCTCAAGTAGAGACCTCTTCTCCAAGATGAATGTTGGCAGTACAACACGTGTGAGGTCCATCCCCAGTTTCAGTTGTGACAACAAGTGAAGAATAACTGATTTGTGCTCCTCAAATGGAACAAGAGAGGATTCTGGAACATCTTCTTCATCTGTCAATTCATCTCTTGAGCTGATGCTAGCTAGATTAATAGATACAAAACACTTTCTCTTAACATTCCTTAAGTTGAGTAACCCACTCCGAGGACAAAAGATCCTGTGATGTATCCAAAATCATCCGATATAACTCAACACAGAAAATAAAGAACTTTATCAGAATGAGGCTAGTACCAATTCCACCTCAGGTGATGACAGTACGCTAGAAAATACAAAGAAGGACTGTCCATCGATGAAACAGTATCCTCCTCTATGGCAGCAGTGAAATTAAGTAACAAGACGACTTCGAACATTCCACGGAGATGCAGAAATATAAAAGGCCTATATGGACTACAGCTCCCAAGATGGTACCTCACATTTTGAAGCCCAACATAAATTTACGTTATAATGGAGTATATGAATGATATGAAGTTAGTGGATGTGTAAATTATAGACCACTCTAAATATTCAAATGATGCAGACATTTTAAACATTTCTACCTGCACAAGGATACATAGATACTGAAGGTGAAAATTAAAATTAAGAAACAACCAACCTGGATTCTCATTGCTGGTAGGAAATGGTATTGGTGAGGTTTCAGGCCACACGGTTGAGAACTTGCGCTGAAAACTAAAACAAAATACCACCAAAATGCACAACACTCAAAATGCTTTGACCACTGACAAAATTTTAAAGCCAATTGGTTGGAACAACATTTTCATGTATAACCAAGTACGTTACCAATCCAATATGAAAAATTACACAGAAATATTAGAACATATTCACACACACACAATTAGAATTACTATAACGACAATCTATTTAAACACAAAAGGGAGAAATATGCTGAACTACAAAAGCAAGGACAATGCTTAAACAGAAATCGGTACATTAGCAAGAAATTATAAATATAAAATCAAATAATAAAAGAACTCCATCAATACTATGTTTCCATTTGTGTAACTAATATGCATTAGAATTCTAACACTACAAACAAACTTATTTTTATAATTAGAATCTGGACATTCATGCAAAATGATCTTTTCAGAATTGATGACAATGAAATTCAATTAACTTGGAGGTAGTAAACACCTCGGGAATATCAGTGGATTTCTACCAGACTGTGTAACGCGACATCCCAGAAGACGGCCATCTTCACACTTGCTGCTATGATAACTTGAAATCTCACATCACCGGGTTTGATGAGCAGAGACATCTTTCTCTGAAGTCTTACGAAAGACAGATTGGGTGCTGGGAAGCCCATAACTTTTCATCAATTTAGAGATATTATAGCAGAAGAATATGTAACCATTCCATTCAAGATGTGTGACAAAAGATACATAAGAGTGTCCATGACAGATATGAAAGACATACAACCATGCCCCAATTTTATAATACCTTAAATCCATGAATATCAA